ATTTATTTCTGTAAATAGGCTTAAAAAAAGCAATTTTACCGTAGAATCATATTCCATATTCCATTCCCCATNGCGATGGCATTTTGACTAGACCCACTAGTTGGTTAATAACTCTATGGTCTTTTCCAAACAAAGCCGCGGGCAGTAGCTAAGTAGGCAACGTTTGTCATTCACCATGGTGTCCATGGTTGCTCATTAGATTTCATATTAAAAGTAATGTTGTTTTAATTTCAGGCCGTAGTCGGTTTACATAAAGGATTTCCTACTATGCTAGAGGTCGCGGGTTTGATCCCCGCCTACATTTCAACATTTGTTTGAGTAACATTTGTTTGAGTAAAATTTACACGATAAGTAGGTATGAGTAATATTAATTTTATTCCTACATGATACCTTAAATTAATATCCTTGGACTTTTTGAACTTCACCTTTAGTCCCAACATGCCGGAATTGCCGGAATACCAAGTAAGAGGACCCGGGTTCGATTCGCGGCTGGGCAGAAATCTGGTCTGGGTGTTACGTACTATATCCTACTTTAAGTAGTATATCCGTTAAGCAGGTGCTACCTGCTAGCACCTTATAGCACCCATAACACAAGCATATTACTTTGCTTAATACTTTGGGGTCTACCTACTAAGTAGCTGTGTGAAATTGTCCAAAGAAATAATCACCTGGATTTGATCACCCAGGTGGTCCACTTTCATCACTTATGTGATCTTATCCATGGGTGATCAAAGGACACCAAAATGTCGCTTGGAGTCAGCGTTGCCAGACGTCCCGATCTTGGCGGGACGTCCCGATTTTTTAATCAAATTTAAATGTCCCGCGCGGGACAGGCTCGGTCCCGCTTTTCGGAGAGAGACACTCACTTCACCAGACTATTGTTTGAAACGCCATATTATTCTAAAGAATAAAACTTTTTAATTTTTTTTCTTTTTTTATTCTAAAGATGAATTTAACGATAGAGTAAATCTGATTTAAAACATTATTTTTTTGTTAAAATACATTTTTTATGGCTACTTTTGCTATCTATTGTCACGTAAACGTAATTTTAAGTCAAATAAAAAGATAAATATTTGAAAACCTTTGATTATATACGTTTTTTTTACTATGTCCCGCTTCTGACGGAAGAATCCCGCTATTTTTACTCAAAAAGTACCAAAGTCCCGACTTGGCGAAAAAAAAAACTGGCAACGCTGCTTGGAGTCCACTTTGATCACTTGGGTGATCAAATCAAGGTGATCAAAGTGGAATACACCAAAATTATGGTGAGATTTTTTGTAATTTATGCTTATTAAGTGGATAGTTACGAGGAAAAGGACCTTCTGTTGGATAATCTTAATTAGTAACTGGGCCATTCTTATTCTTATGCATTTTTGTGTGAGATGTAAGAATAGCATATGTTTTTAAAGAAAATCAGTGCACTGTATATTAATTTACTCAGTAAAATACCTCTATTAACTAGGCCCAATATCATTTTTATCATAAAACTATTAGAAGAATGTTAAAAAAAAGTTACAAGTCCAAAATGTCACGGACCGTGTAGTGTGAGATTCCCGGATTTGGACATACAATATTTTTTTCTGAAGAGATGTTATGTTATTTTGATAAATATTACAGTAATTATGCAAGATTAATACATGTTATATAAGACTGTTAAAAATTTATATCAATAATAATTACCATTTTTGATTTTGAACACCAAACATTGTGTGAGCAGTTTTTGTGTCACAACCACGTGCGCCACTTTAAATATGCGTAACTCGGTAAAAAACTATCTTTGATATTGACATCCCTTGCTAAGTTTTTTTAGAACAGTAACATTGTCATCTTATTAGATTTGCAAATGGCTGAACGTAGTGAGTGAGCCGCAAAAAATTATTTCCTATTTATTTGAAAAAAGGGACAACCATAACACGTCCATCCCGTGTACGGTTTTTAAAGGTAGGTATCAATGTCACGCTATTGTATAAAACATAATTATGTACCTCATGCAGTATAGTTTCAGATAATTGCACAAGATCTGCTAATTCACAGATAGTTTTTTGGATATATCGGACACGTTCCAAATTGTCACGGCCATGGTATTAAAAATGTGTCACTACCGCAAACTATTTAAGTACATGGTCGTGACATTACAACGCGTGGTTGTGACATTCTATTTTTATTATTTTAATAGTTTTTGTTGTTCTGCTAAATTATTTTGTGTATTGTGCAATTTTTAGGAGTAGCCTTTTAGTAAGTGTACTTATTTTTCGCTAGTATGATTTTCTAGATGCCACGAAGGAAAAATTATTGCACTTTCTCATTTCTGCAGTAATATCAAATTTTACTGAGACAGCTCCCGGTAAAGGCCCTGCAGAGGTGGTCGGAGTTGTTTTAAAAGGAATTGCTATTAACCATATTTTTAGTGGTACGGTGACTATGAAACATGTTTAAGTTGTCAAAACCAACTGTTATGTGAATCCTACAGAAATCTCATTTGATACTCAATTAGGTACCTACTGTGTTTAAGATTTACTAATTTGTTAAGCATATTATCATATCGAAACCATGTAGGTAGCATATCGGAAGCATGATCAGATAGTGCCAATAATAAAAAGTCTATTTTTTTATTATCTAGTAGACATATTAACTACCTGACGGTATTTTTGATCTCAATTTTAATTAAATTTTTGGATGTTCAGAAAAAAGTACATATTATTATTACCAAATAACACCTTTGTTGATGAAACGAATTTAGTGTATTTTATTGTTAATCAATTTAAACTATTATGATATAAATTTAACAACATAAATATTATTATTTACAGTAAAAATGTAAAACTGTCACATCCGTGTCATGCAGTGTCACAGCCGTGTTTACGTAGGCTATTTTGTTTCCTTTCCGAGGGTTTTAAGGTTGTCCGTATACATCAAAAGTATGCTTTTGGTTTATACCTACTTTCGATACACATCGCAAAAAGTTTTAAAAAAAAATCTTTAATTTAAAAAAAAAAAATGGCACAAATTTAAGAATGGCCCAACTATAAGTTCAAAGCTAAAGACAAAGAAAATCACACATTTGCGTCAATAAGTAAGTAAGTACCTAACTACTTTTTTTTACACATAAGAAGTCACCACAACAGAATCAGTTGAAAACATCTTTCAATACGCACTATGAATTACGAGTAGGTAATAATTGTCATCAAATTATGCAAGTTCAAGAATGATAGCATTGATTGATGACGCACAAATAGTCATCATATATGACAACAATGAATTACCTACGTTAGGGCGCTTTTAATTTAGCTGATTCGTGCCGTGCGTTTGTCGTGCGTTTGCAAGACCGCACACCAACTTTAAGTAGGTACTTAATTGTCAATCCTATTCCGACGCAACGCAATGACAATATATAAAACATCTTAGTTCCGACGCAGTTGTTGTCATACAATTTACCTACCGTGTGCGGTTTTGCAAGCGCACATCAAGCGCGCGGCAAACGTCCGGCACGAAACGTCTAAAATAGGGATGATGACTGGGCAGCTGGGTAATGAAATCGAAATTCTATTTAGTCCGTCAGACAATAATAAAAAAAAATTTGGACACATACCTATTTTTTAATTTTTTTCACAATCTAATAATTACAGTATTAGGTAGGTAACTATATTGACAGAGTTTAAATGTCTCGTGACGTCACTTTTAAGTAAAAAATCCACTCAAGCGTGACGTATCGCGCCTTTTTAACTTGATGTAGCACTGTTATTATTTAATTATGAAAGAAAATAAAAAATATGAGTCTAATATTTTCCACTTATCTGTCTGACGGACAAATAATTGAAATTTTGTCAACTAGCCTATTGAAAGCGCCCTTAGGCGATTATCACACTGCGCCGCGCTCCGTGTGATTTCATATAAAAAATCCCGCGCGCAGACGCGTTTTCAGTGTGTTGTGCCGCGCGTGTTTTCTATCTATACAAACTGAGGTACTTGCATACAATGATTAAATCTGTCGTCCCGCGTACCGCGGCAGAGCGCGGCGCAGTGTGATAATCGCCTTACGGAGCTGAAACGTGGAATTTGCCTCTTTAAATTGTTCTAAAGAGCTTATTAAAAAAATTTGGACTTTGCAAAGTCAGCCTGTAACATACCCCTACCCCTGTATTAAGTTCCTTCCTGGCGCTCTACTTATTAATGATATCAAACAAAGCTCTTCTTCTCTCAAATCCTCTGATCCCGAAAGAGAAAACCTTCCTTTTATATTTCTCTTTACAAAATCTCTCTTAAACTTAGTTGCACCATCTTACTTTAACTTTGACAAACGTCAAAAGTCTGTTACTCCATCCATACAAAAACACCAGTTAACGTCATAGTGTTGTTCAGGGTGGAATTTTGTAATGCCACCTGGAGGGAAAGTACTCTTAATAGTGCAGATAGAAAATTTTACTCAAAGGAAACATTCCTTTATTTTTGAAAAGAAGTAGAACTGCGTTCAAAGATTTCCCAAAATGTTATTGCCACACCCGGGAATCGAACCAACTAAAATATGTAAAAAATTACATCCTGTATTTTTATTGTATCGAACGCTAGGGTTGTACGAGTATAAGGATGAAATTTCTCTAACAAGCTTGATAAATCAAATGAGAGGAAAATCATGAAATCTTAAATTATTTTAATTATTTACATATAATTGTATGGTATGATAGTGAAAATTTCGAAAAAAATTCGAAAATCTTTGAATGCAGTTCTCTTTCTTTTCATAAATAAAGAAATGTTTTCTTTGAGTAAAATTTTCTATCTACAGTATTAAAAGTACTTTCCCTACAGGTGGCATTACAAAATTCCATCCTGTATCAGGTGGTGCAACTCAGCTCAGGGACGAAGGCGCGGGCTCAGCTAGGTCACATCAACGTCACCTATCTACTTATCTCATCACAATATAAACTTTTTCAACCGCACTTATAATTACTTATAACCACGCACAGTGAAGACAGTCGGTCGTGAAAGCCAGTGGATTGAAGACCATGGAAAAGTAAGTTTTTCTATTGTTATACACAAGTATTTATATGAGTTTTATTTGGTTTAATTTCGAGTCTGATTTTAATTTTTTGCCAAAAAAAGTAAAGTAAAATTTAAGCATTTTCAGACGATATATTGTCCCGAAGTGGTGGTAGGGCAAGATACATTTGGGACGCATAAAATAAATGCCCTGAAAAAGCCCTAATACCTACCTAAAAACAAAGAATTTGAATTTATAAATCCCAGTAAAAATAATGTAATTAAAAATTATTATAAACCTCTTTTTACGAAAAAGTATCTGAACATATTTTCGAATTTACATTATTTCATTTTTTGACCTGTAATCGCCAGATCGTCGGTCCACCTAGTGGGGGGCCTGCCCACACAAGCCTTTCGGCCCGTGGTCGCCACTCGAGAACTTTTCTGCCCCAGCGGGCGGGACACAGTTAGGTATGTGCCCCGCCCACTGTCACTTGATTTTAGGAAATCTGTAGATAGGCTATGTCGGTCATTTTGGTATTCTTATCTCCTCATTTCTGAAAATTCTGATTTGATCACGCATGGAAACTCCGAGCATAGCACGCTCCATAGCTCTTTGGGTGACCCTAAGCCTTCTTATGAGGCCTGTAGTAAGCTCATTCCTTAATAACTACGATATAAACATGAATAGCTGACGGCCGCTGGGGCAGGAAAGTTCTTGAGTGGCGACCACGAGCCGGAAGACGTAGCGTGGGCAGACCTCCCACTAGGTGGACGGACGATCTGGTGAAGGTCACGGGAGGCTCCTGGATGCGAGCGGCGCAGGACCGGTCTTCGTGGAAATCCTTGGGGGAGGCCTTTGTCCAGCAGTGGACGTCTTTCGGCTGAAACGAACGAACGAAACATGAATAAAATTGCTTTAACTATCTCTAAACTTGCTTACTTCTATCTAAACGAAATTGCGTGAGTTTGAACAATAGTAAAGAGTCTAACAACTTCAAGAATAGAATAATGAGAGCGATCAGGGTAATCATTGATAGAGCCATTAAGATTAATGCTACATTGTTTAGAGTAGGCGCACACCGTTGATTTTTAGTTGGCCGATAGTTTAGTCGGGCTCTTAAGGTCTAATTGGTTTCTGCAAAGGGATAAACATATTTGGATACTTGTAAGTAATAGAAAAGACCTAGACAAATAAAATTGTTTACATTTAGCATTACCTAGCTTAGTAGGTACTAGTACCTACTAGTAGTAGTACCAATGATTTCCATAATGACCGGTTGGTAGCGGCAGTATACGGCCTGCATAGGAAAGCGCAGCATAGGACGTCCACCCACAGGTGGACCGACGACCTCATAAAGGTAGCAGGAAGGCGTTTGATGATATATTTCGGCGTTTACCCGTGGTCCCCCCAACATGTCCCCCTGGTGGGTCCACGGGTAATTTTTTTTACCCGTTGTCCCACCGTTCTGAACAGTTTTTGCCAGTGGGTCTACGGGTAATTTATTTTAACCATAGTCCCACCGCACAGTGGTAAACGTTGCATGTCACCTCATATTCTTTATGTTTTATTTGCATTGTATTATTAGGATTTGAGCTATTCTACAAAACGAATGTAAATTTATTAGTCTACGTTTATTAGTTTCGACGTAATTGTTGAACAAAGATACCCCTTCCCAGCGGTTTCCATAGTAACCAAATAAAACATACCTACCTTAACGACCTGGTTTTTCTTGTGTTGGAAAATAACTTAAAAAGAAGTATAAAAGTATATTTTCATCGATAAAATTGTCCATAGATTATGCCCTTAAAGTTTGATCACTACAAGCCCGGACACATTGTATAAGTGGACTGATGTCTGGCATGAAATATCAAACGCCGAGTATGAGTGACTTTAACCCACATTGTGTGATGTGAAGATATAAAAAATGTTCTTGCAATTATTAATTTCGATGTATCCTTTATTCTCAAATAAATATGTATGAACTTAAGAATAAGTCTTATAAATCTATGGTTAATTAATAATTATAGATTTTTTTATAATTATACCTAGGTGACATGCAACGTTTACCACTGTGCGGTGGGACTATGGTTAAAATAAATTACCCGTAGACCCACTGGCAAAAACTGTTCAGAACGGTGGGACAACGGGTAAAAAAAATTACCCGTGGACCCACCAGGGGGACATGTTGGGGGGACCACGGGTAAACGCCGAAATATTTTATTATATTATAATAAATTGAAATAATTATAATAGACTGAAACGAGAATTTTGACTCTCGAAAACCGAGATCCTAAGGCTGAGTTGAACTTTGACCGTAACTTTGATGATAACCGGTGTTTTTTGTACGGAGTTTGACAGACTCTTGACATTTATTAAAGTTAAAGCAAGATGGTGTCTAAAACTTTTTGACAGGAAATCTTCACCTTTTTCAGGTCAGCTCGCGAGTACAAGCTGTCAGCTGAAGAGAAGCAGTTCTTCGCTGATAATGGGTACCTGGTCATCAGGCAGTTATACGACACTGCGGCTTGTGAAAACTTAAGGTACCGCCGCCATAGCACATCAAGGCAAACACATGACACCTTTATCATCAACTTTAACCATAACCGGTGTTTTTTGTATGGAATTTGACAGACTTTTGACGTCTGTTCTTGTTAAAGTAAGATGGTACAATCCAGTCTTCGTGTGGTGAGCCCACACATGCATTCTCGTATTAGCTTACAACCAGGGTTTTTTATGCATAACAAGCAATGGCGGCGTAGTGTGGGTTGGCACCCGGGGCGGTCACCCCCCTCCCGTCATAAGTCTTAAGGCACCGCCTGGTAACCCCCAGGATTTTGGGGTTACCTACCGATTCGAAGATTGAAAGACACCGCACTGCAGACTTGCTATGCAGATGCGCCAGTGAGTACTAAACTGCGTGACTTGTATCACCCCCTGATGCTCGGCACCCGGGGCGGACCGCCCCACCGCCCGCCCCTTAGGCCGCTACTGATAACAAGGCAGGTATTTGACCATAATCGCACCTGGTGTTAAGTAGGATGCAGTATAGGATGGTTCATATCTACCCTGTAAGTGCCTATTCACTCTCGCCTTGAAAAGGCCGCGGTAACGTGATTATTTATTTGTTTATTAATTTGTAATAGGTATACATTATGTTGATTGGTTTTAAAATGTGGAATTAAACAGGTCTAATGAAATGTTTTCAGGAAGAGATTCCTGCAAGTGGTGAATAAAGAAGTGAAAAGAGGCAGAATGGCGGTCATCGAGGACTTAGAATTGAAGAAGAAGACGAATATTCCAGAAGAATATGTCAACAAGGTAAGGGAGGCAAATCTTTTTATTTTTTCAATCTTCTAACCCAGGGTTTCTCAAAGTGGGGCACGCAAACCCCTAGGGGTTAGCAATTCGACGGTAGGGGGTTCACGACAAAATTTACGTAATGGTGCGGAATGGTGCCAGACTTAAAATTGACCAAAATTACTGCAAACATTTACTCCATTTGCGACAATAATCAGTGCTTGTTTCTTCAAATGTCTTTGGCAATCTATTGACATTAAAACCTTATTTTTTCAATTGTCAATTTTATTAATTTCTTTGGGGGAAGGGGGTTTAATTAGCTCCATGGAAACTTTAACAGGGGTTCGTGGAGCCGAACGTTTAAGAAACCCTGCTCTAAACTGTCTGGGCGTAGGGAGTGTAGGCCAAATCTTGCATTTGCCTCTGGTACATTAAAGAGGGTTGCACTCCTGCAGTGGAGACTAAATGACCTGATCATGATTATTCATAACAAAATACTATTTTTATTGCAGCTCAACTCATTGAGTTACGACTCAGAGTTCCAGAAGCACACTGAAGACGCTCGGATGTTGGACGTCCTGTCACAGCTGCTGACAAAAGACACTGTCATCATGAACAGCATGCTCATCAACAAGCCTCCGGGCACTCCGTGGCATCCTCCTCACCAGGTGAGAGTGACTGTATAGACCATTGGTTCCCAAACTTATTTGAGACGCGCCCCCTTTCGACCATACAAAAAATTCCTCCTCCAGTCAAGATTATTTAATTTTATTGGTCATGTCGAGCAGTCTAGAGTGCATTCTCCCAGCAGCGGTCGTAAGTTTTTTATACTCAAGTACACACTGTACACATATGGCCCGCGCCCCCCTTTAAAGGTCTTTGCGCCTCCCCTGGGGTGCGCGCCCCCCACTTTGGGAACCAATGGTATAGACCAACGATTTTGGCAACTGGTGTTTAAGAGGACAGGTTCTGGAATGGAGGCCATGTACCGGCAAGCACAGCGTTGGACGACCACCCAAAAATCAAAATCAAAAACAATTTTATTTCAATAATTGCCGCCCATCGAACGCACAGCGTTGAATGGAGCTCTGTGATTGCTTCATGTGTCACCTTGTGCGTCCCAGCGCACTGTGAGACCTCATAGTAATGTTTGTGAATACGGGCGTAAATGTATCAAGAAAAATAGCATGGAAAGCCTGGGAGTGTGACATTTCCTACGTACTGCTGCAACTACTGTGTAGGTACGTTTCATTTCAGCCAAATGACGTCCACTGCTGGACAAAAGCATCCCCAAAGATTTCCACAATAATCGATCCTACTGGTCAGTCAGTCCTGGCAGAAAGTTAAACTGTCATTGAACCCGTAATATTACTATTAAAAAAATCAAAGCCTTTAGCACTTTAGTTATTACTCACACAGATGTTTGCAAAAAAAGTCTCACTGCCTGTCACATTAGGCATATAGGTACAGTTTCTGAGTAAATAAGACATTACAAGTTTATTTTACACAAGAATTTACTGTCAATATTTAATACTAGCTTTCCGCCTGTGGCTTCGCCCGCGTGAAATTTTGTCTGCCACAGAAAAACTTTATCACGCGCGTCCCTGTTTCAAAAACCGGGATAAAAACTATCCTATGTCCTTTCCCGGGATTCAAACTATCTCTATGCCAAATTTCATCAAAATCAGTTCAGTGGTTTAGGCGTGAAAGCGAGACATACAGACAGACAGACCGACAGATAGACAGAGTTACTTTCGCATTTATAATATTAGTATAGAAGTAAAGATAGATTTTCACAAAATTTTCCATTGATACGTATAAGTTTAGTATGTCAAAAATAAAACTTTCAATGATTCCAGGCTCAATATGTATGTTTTAGCAGAGGACGTATTCATTTCAGGACGTGTACCACATACCCCTGAGACCAGTAGACAAGATCCTGACGACCTGGACAGCCGTAGACGAGGCCACACAAGACAACGGCTGCTTATTCGTCATCCCGGGGTCGCACAAGGCTAATATCATATACGAGGAGCATATCTTACCGGTAAGGGCGACGATCTGGTGAAGGTCACGGGAGGTGCCTGGATGCGAGAGGCGCAGGATCGGTCTTCGCGGAAATCCTTGGGGGAGGCCTTTATCCAGTAGTGGACGTCTTTCGGCTGAAACTAACGAACGAAGGGCGTAACCGCTTCTGTGGTCAAGTGGTAAAACCATCTGCTTAAAACGCAGAGGGTTCGATTCCCTAACGCAGAGGTTTGTTTTAAGTTCGACTGGCTACCTTTATCTTACCGAAGTCTGTCGCCATAACAACGATGTTAACAGCATTGTTGTGTTCCAGCAGTCAGAGGTAAGATAGCCAGTTCCTCTATGGTTGTGGATTCTGGGCAAAGTTCGCTTCAAACATCCGCCTGATCATCACTTTCCATCAGATGAGATACAGGCCAAGAGCTTCCTCGTTGTGGTTAAAAAAGTCTTCGTAACGTATTTTTTATTTATTTTTATTATTTAAATCGAACAGAAACGTAAGAAACAAAGTCCGGATAAGACATAATATACATAGGTTGAATTAAAAATGGCCATACCATTTTCGAAATATCAAGCTAAGGGACAATTTCAATTTTGGAAGACATGGTATGGGCGGCATCCCAGTCGGTGGACCGACGATCTAGTAAGAGCAGCAGGAAGCTTGACTAGCCTTTGTGAAAATCCTTAGGGGAGGCCTTTGTCCAGCAGTGGACGTTATTCGGTTGAAAAGACATAAGGAACAATTTCGAGATAAGCAACAAGAAATAGCTCAAGCTTCTGCCGTGGATACTAAATGACCTGATGATGATGATTACCTAGTACTTGATAAACACTGACAACTTTATTGATTTACAGGGTTTCGTCAACAGCTTATTCTTCTCGATAAAAGATTTAGACCTCCTTGCTCCAATGAACAAGTGGGTGGCGCTGCCCATGAGGCCTGGAGACACTGTCTTCATCAACTCCTTGCTGATACACGGCTCGTTCCCAAATACCACCAAGGTAAATACTTAACAATTTTGTAGAGAGAATATTAATTGACATTACTATTAGGTCTAGCGGCTTAACTCAGTCTGTGCCTGCACTGGCACTTCAGCTTGCTAATCCGTCGGTGTATGTCAGCGACTTTAGTTCGTTTACGGATATCTTCATTTAATTTTCTGATTCGATATCGTAAAGAAACACCGAGCATAGCTTTTCCCATAGCACGCGGTGCAACTTTGAGCTTCTGTATAAAGCTTCAACCACACCAACGCGTGCAGATCGCCATCGCCGGCGAGATCATAGGCCAATGTCAGGTCGCGCGACCCATGACAGTCCGCGCGACCTGTCATTGGCTTATGATCGCGCCGGCGATGGCAATCTGCACGCGTTGGTGTGGTTGAAGCATAAGGTCTACAGGATGGAATTTTGTGATGCCACCTGGAGGGAAAGTACTAGTAAGATAGATTTTTTTCTCAAGGAAAACAATATTTTATTTTTGAAAAGAACTGCATTCAAAGATTTCCAAAAATTTGCCACACCTGGGAATCGAACCAACTAAAATCTGTTAAAAATGACACCCTGTATTTTTAGTGCATCGATCGTTAGGGTTAAGTATAAGGATGAAATCTCTCTAACAAACTTGATAAATCAAATGAAAGGAAAACCATGAAATCTTAAATTATTTTAATTATGTACAGAAAATTGTATGATTATATGGCAGTGAATTTTCGAAAATACTTCGAAAATTTTTGAATGCAATTCTCTTTCTTTTAAAAAATAAAGGAATGTTTTCTTTCAGTAACATTTTCTATGTACAGTATTAAGAGTACTTTCCCTCCAGGTGGCATTACAAAATTCCACCCTGTATAGTGAAAGGCCACGTTTCCGAACCGTATGTCATCATTGGTTGTTTACTTTTCCCAGAAATACCGCAAAGCCATCACCAACGTATACGCGTCAGCTGAATGCGCGTACGTGGACGTGACTGGGACGGTGCAGGAGCCCTTCGCCATTGAAGCCATGAAGGAGCTGAGGAAAAGGGGCTATGAGTTCGCGAACTATAAGGTTATTCAAAATCAAAATTATCTTTATTTGTTTAGACTAATTAAATTAGTAGGTACTTGCAAATCGTCAAATGCTCTTAAGGAGCCTATACATGTCTCATTCTTTTTTTGCCCTACCAGCGCTTCGAGACAAACATTTGGCAAGTGCTGAGAAGAAGCGCCGCAACAAACTCAGTCACCACTGTCTGCCGGTTTAAAAATATAAAAAAGTAGGAAGTTACAATACATTCAGAAGCAAGTTACTTACCACGCGCTCCCGTTGAAGAAGGTGGCCTTTAAGACGCCCATCTAGCACGAGACCGCGTGGCAGTTTTGAATATTTATTATACCGGCTATTATACTATAATACTCTATTTTAACCGTCTGTCTGTTGAACAAGACGATCGAGATAGAAATAAATTGGGGAAGAAGATAGAAATGAATCACGGGGCTTGGAAAATATTAGGCGAGGCAGAAGAAAAAGAAAACTCTGTTTAACCACATCTGTGGTTTAGTGACAGCATCACCTGTCTCAAACCAAAAACTATTCCCACCTCTCGTTCCCACCGCTGCAACTCCTGTGTAGCCAGGATCTACAGCTTGACATCCAACAAAAACCCAACCAGTTAAGGTCAATTTTGTCCTGGGGGAAAGATTTATGCTTGTTTCTTGTCGCAAATGGAGTCAATTTTAGTAGTAATTTTGGATAATTTTAATTCTGCCACCATTACGACATCTTGTCGCGAACCTCAATGTCGAAATCCAAGGGGTTCGCGTAGCCCACTTTTGGAAACCCTGGTCTATTTAAATTAGTCAGTCAAAGACTTCTGTGACTTGTTAACCAATATACCTACAAGTTGTTCAAAATATACATTATTAAAATCAAGTCAATGTATACAAGTTACACGCGTTCGTGACCTTTGAAACCCTCGAAGTAAAGATAAATTAGTATTAAATACCTATTATTATGTGCATTTTATGGGGGATATGTTTAGTAGTGGATTTCTAAAGATTAATGCCATTTCTTTTTACTTTCAGGACGCCTGGCGATTCAGAAGCAAAAAGATTGGGAAATCAAAATCTAAATTATAAGTTTTTAACTTATAATAATATAGATATAACTAATATTGTAGACCAAGTACCTATCAAGGTGTTATTTGTAGATTTTTTCAAGTTATTTATACATAATTTTCATATCAAGGTGTTGTTTAGATGCAGTACAAAAATATAGTTTTAGTTATATTATCTGTGGTTTTAGTACACCTACGTCCTACATACATATATTGTTTTGATATAATAATTTTAATTTATTAATTGACGGTGTTTTTCATTCCCATTTTCATTTTCTCCTATTCCTTTAGCCAATAACTTGACAACTCTAAAATTATTTTAACTTTCTGAGAAATAAAACTTATTATCGAATGTACATTTTCATAATACAATCCTACAATTTTTTTAGGTGGGTAAATGATTTTACCATTTGTGTGCGCTGTAAAAATTAATCGCAATTTTTAAACCAAAGTTAATCTTGGATTAAAGTTCCGTTCAAACTTTCTGCTAATCACACGGTTCTTTGTCTAACTTAGATCAGATATTCTATTTCACCCCCTCCGTTAAATCAAAAATTTCCGGTAAAGTTATTAACAGATTAAATTGGATTCTTTTAGAATGTAACACTAGAAAGATGGGCAGGGGTCAAAATATTATAGACTAAGATCTGGTGAACGCCAGACCTACGTCATTTTGTAAAAGCTGAAAGTTTGTCAGCGTATGCTCCCACCCATTATAGGATAGAATGTTGGCGAATCATGAAGTTTGGGTCGTCGTGGCTTTGGCAGCTATCCTAAAAAACTGTCTGGCAAGGAGTTGGAACTGTCAAAACGGTATGGCTGATGTGGAAACAACTTCTAATCATTGCCCAAATATTATACATAAAAATCAGAGTTTATGGTATAACGTAAGTAGAATTACAGTCTATTGAATATACAGAAAAAGCCACCGTAGAAGTTAGTTAACTCAGGTTTAGATAATTTTTAGACTATAGTTCGTTCGCGGTTAAAATTGGTTTATGTAACTTAATCCTCTCGGTGGTTCAAATTACATAATAATTATAGAAATGTTTATTACATCATCTTAACATTATAAATAAAACATTACATTATCCGGACTACGAAAGATTTTAAGTCTCATTTATAATTTCTATTAGGTATTATTCTAAAGTAAAGTAAGTAAAATGTTTACCACCTAACTTGCGTTGCCAAAAAAATTGTTTTGTAAGTATTTAAATCACAGGTAAATTATATTTCTAAGCAGTAAGAGGAAAGCTCTAGATCGTGCAGTTATTTCAGTTCAGTTAATATTCTAAATGGATACTAAAATGAACTATAATAGAAGGTTTGGAGTCTTAAAGCTTACACCAAAGTGGTGAGTTGTTCTTTTATTATTGCTAGATATTACAATCACTTTTTTTAAATTAATTTTGGACGAAAGACTAAGAAATGAAGGAGAATTCTTTAAATTTAAGTGTAGTTAGTAAGATTTTTATCCATGCATATTCCTTCGCGTTTGGAAGTCAGTTTTATTTGTGTGTTTAAGTTATTCGTACTTATTATTTTACAGTGATATAGTGATAAGTACTTGGTATGTCTGTGACAAACTGAATTACATATGGGCAAAGCCACAAGCGAAATCTCATCTTCATCGTCATCATTTCAGCCATAGGACGTTCACTGCTGAACGTAGGCCTCCCCAAAAATAAATAAATAAATATCCTTGGACATTTTACACTGCGCCTCTAGTCTAGTCCCAAATTAATAGACGAACGCCAGACCTACGTCAATTTATAAAAGCAATAATTAGAAGTAGTTTCCCCATCAGTCGGATAGTTTTGACAGTTCCAACTCCTTGCCAGACAGTTTTTTTTAGGATAGCTGCCAAAGCCACGATGACCCAAACTTTATGATTCACCAGAATCCTAACCTATATTGGGAGCATACGCTGACAAACTTTCAGCTTTTATAAAATGACGTAGGTCTGGCGTTTACTAGCTCTTCGTCTATAAGCAAAGCTTGTACTATGGACTATAAAGCTTGAACACAATCATTTCCATATTGACAGGTTGGTAGAGCGGCTTTGGGCAAAAGCACGCAAAAGCTACTTAGTATGAAATAAAAAACTTTATTTGTTCCTTACAGTGTAAATGCAGAGTTTCCAAAAACCTTCCAGTTATCTCAGGAACAGTTGAATTTTTTCGCGGAAAATGGTTACTTAGTTATGAAGAACCTAATTGACTTTGGATTGTTGAACAACTATAGGTATGTTAAACCTTTATTTCTTACTAAANTTAATGTACATAATAATTATAGAAATGTTTATTACATCGTCTTAACATTATAAATAAAATACATACATTATCCGGACTACAAAATATTTTAAGTCTTATTTATAATTCCTATTAGGTAGCTACTTATCTATATTTAAAGTGAACTAAGTAAAATGTTTACCACCTAACTTGCGTTGCCAAAAAAAAATGTTTTGTAAGTATTTAAATCACAGGTAGATTATATTTCTAAGCAGTAAGAGGTAAGCTCCAGATCGTGCAGTTATTTCAGTTCAGTTAATATTCTAAATATGGATACTAAAATGAACTATAATAGAAGGTTTGGATTATTAAAGCTTACACCAAAGTGGTGAGTTGACTTGCACTTAGAAAACTTTATTACTTTTCTTTTATTATTGCTAGATAATTACAAGCACTTTTTTAAAATTAATTTTGAACGAAAGTCTCTATACTAATATTATAAAGCTGAAGAGTTTGTTTGTTTGTTTACTTGAACGCGCTAATCTCCGAAACTACTGGTCCGATTTGAAAAATTATTTCAGTGTTAGATAGCCCATTTATCGAGGAAGGCTTTAGGCTTTACAATATCACGCTACGATCAATAGGAGCAGAGCAACAATGAAAAATGTTGCGAAAACAGGTTTTCACGCGTACGATGTCGCGGGCACAGGTAGTAAGAAATGAAGGGGAGTTCTTTAAATTTAAGTGTGGCTAGTAAGATTTTTATCCATGCATCGCGTTTGGAAGTCACTTTTGTGAACTGAATTAAATAAGGGCAAAGCCATGGGAAAAATGTCATTATCATCGTCGTCATCATTTCAGCCAAATGACGTCCACTTCTGGACCAAGGCCTCCCCCAAGGTTTTCCACAATGAACGGTCCTGCGACCTTTTTTACCAGATAGTCGAAAAGCTACTTAGTCTACACTAATATTAATTATAAAGAGGAAATTTTTGTTTGTTTGGTTGTAATGAATAGGCTCAAAAACTACTGGACCGTTTTTAAAAATTCTTTCACCATTCGAAAGCTACATTATCCACGAGTAACATAGGCTAAATTTTATTTTGGAAAAAAATTGGGTTTGTCGGACACGGTCCACTATAGGCTGTATAATGTAGTCCACGCGGGCGAGGACGCGGGCGGAAAGCTAGTATTAAATAAAAAGCTTTTTATGTTACTTACAGTGTAAATGCAGAGTTTCCAAAAACCTTCCAGTTATCTCAGGAACAGTTGGATTTTTTCGAGGAAAATGGTTATTTAGTTATAAAGAACCTAATTGACTTTGGATCGTTGAACAGCTATAGGTATGTTAAATCTTTATTTGTTACTAAAATAAGTTGCACCACCTTAAACTGTAACTACAACAATAACCGGTGTTTTTGTATGGAGATTTTCTTTTTCTTTCTCTACTATAGAGTCACAGCACATAATTATGCTGTATCCATGCTAATCTCTGCGTTAGATCGCAGCATCGTAATCGAGCGTTTTAGCGACTCTATTTATGCAAAACGCGATATCGCGACTTACTTTTCAATTGGTAAAAGTTCATCATCATCATCTCAGCCATAGGACGTCCACTGCTGAACATAAGCCTCCCCCAATGCTTTCCATGTTGCCCGGTTGGTAGCGGCCTGCGTCCAGCGCCTTCTTAGGTAAAAGTTGGTTGTAAATAAACATTTCTTCTCTTCTTTCTTTTTATAATATTTTTATCATCAGAAAACGCTTTAGTGAAATATGCGACGGCTCAGCACCCCGCGGAATGGTGACCATCGTTAAAGAACCGAAGTTGATCAAAGAAGCAAAGACGCTAGAAGATTGTGTTAATAAGGTGAGCAGCATTTTCAGGGTTCGTTGGTTTCAGCCAGAAGACGTCCACTGCTGGACATAGGCCTCCCCCAAGGTTTTCCACAATGAACGGTCCTGCGCTGCCCGCATCCAGGCTCTTCCCGCGACCTTTACCGTTGGTCCACCTAGTACTACTACTAGGTCTTTGAAAATCTGTACCCTGAAAATACACTCCGTATTTTCAGGGTATAGATTTTCAAAGATTTCAAATCTTAACTTCATCTAATTAAGGCAATGGGAATGTAGTTCCCACCCACCTTATTTTTTTGTAAAAACTGAATTCTAATACCAAATATCTCTATTTGTGAAGGATAGGTAGGAGTTAGGTAGGTACCTATCATAGTGTACATTATTGAACTTGCAATCGTCTTTAAAGGTACTACGTAGTATAAACAATGTCACTTTCCGCTATCTGTCCCTATGTGGGGGAGAGTTCGGTATATTGTACCGCCGGGTAAATTGTACCACCCTTATATTTCGTAAAGTATTTATTGAATGTCTGTAATTGCAACACTCAGCGATACACAACTAAATTCAATTAATATCCGCCATGTGTTTTTTGCCGTGACAACAAACACGTGTGTTTTATTTTGAAAAGTATTTTTTCATTGTTTTCAAGTAACTTTTGACAATGCATGTTTAGTTTGTAATTTTGTTAAATTTAATCACAGGGTGTTTCTAATATATTATTTACAAGCGTAAATTAGTGCGGATTACAATTATTTGAAACATTTTTCGATATTTATAAGCTATATTTTTTACCGATTTTTTAAAAGCACTATCACCTAGTCGGCTAAATTGTACCACATCAAGTTGTATGCAAAGGATTTTGAATTTTTTTTCAGTAAATCATATTTTGAAGTTATAATAGCGTAGTTATGTTTGACTAACAATAAATGAAAGCAAAATACTGGCAAAGTAGATTAGGTACAAGTGTGCGTTACGATAATTGGAATTACAAAACTTGTACTCAAAATCGTGATAACGTGTAAAACAATATCGATTGTCTATGTTATTACCTCTGTCCCTTTTCGTTTCCTAATTTGTTAAGAATGTATCGTATAATATTTTGCCATAGTTTTTTTATAGGCTTGAAATTTATTGAAATCCAATTTAGTAACCCTGTGGTACAAATTATCGAACCGGTTGGCTAAATTGGACCGAAGCTCTGAGCTCATATTTTGTTGATTTGTGCTAAATATAGTCAGATTTCGGGAGCGGGGTGGGAGCTTTTTANTTTTTTTTAATTATTAAGTATAGTGGTTCAAGAGGTAGGTTTATATTTATATTTAGCACCCGTTCGAAGCCGGGGCGGGTCACTAGTTTAATATAAAAAAATAGCAGAATTCTTCCATTAATTTTGGCTTCATAATTTTGGATCATACTTATTTGCTCTCTGTATTTCCAGATGCAAGACATCATCGATGATGAGGTATTCGCGACGTACGTAGAGAACCCAGGTCTCCTGGACGTGGTGTCCCAGCTCATTGGTGACAACATATCTGCTGTGCACACCATGGTCATCAACAAGCCTCCTGGTACGGGTCGACATCCTCCGCATCAGGTAATTATCATCATTGTTATCATAATTGTGTATTATCGTTCGTTCGTTCAGTCAAAAATTGTTCACTGCTTTGTCTCGAGTGGCTGGTTGGACTCGTTGAACTGAGATCTAGTAAAGGGCGTTGTGAGAACCTTCAAATTCAAAATCAAATTGTTTATTACATGAAATACGGTAGGATGGAACACAAAATTGATGATGTTCAACATGTCTCGCCAAATTATGGCGTGTAACAATTGAGAACAACCTTGAGAGGGCTTTCAATTTGGTCAATCATAGTAACAAAATACCTACCTTCCACATTTTGAATGGACGATATCATTGCATCAAAGGCACACATCATCAGATCATTTATTAGTCTCCGCTGCGGGTTCACGACTCTCTCTAACCTTCAGTAAGAAGGTAGGATTTGTTCTACGTTCCCTACGCTGGCCAGACTGGTGGAGAACGGGACTATTCCCAACTCTCTTTCCCACCGCTGTAACTCCTGTGTAGCCAGGATCTACAGCTTGACATTCAATAAAAAACCAACCAGTGAAGGTCAAGTTTGTTTCGGGGGAAAGTTAAACTGTCATTGGACCCGCAACGAAATTTATCAGAAGAACATAGACTGCTTGAGAAGGCACGATGAAGTTTTTTCAGGTGTACTGTTATTGTTTGCATTATTTCCACCCCCATTTTCACAGGACCTGTACTACTTCCCCTTCAGACCAGCAGAGAAGATCGTAACAACCTGGACGGCCATAGACGAGGTGACCATAGAGAATGGATGCCTGTACGTCCTGCCTGGGAGCCATAGAGGAGACCTGCATAGGCATGGGTATCCTGAAGTGAGTGCTCATAGTTTTGATTGATAACTAGGCAATTAGACCATTACGCGGGTTGAGCCTCGACGCCACTCGATTATTGTGGTGAACCCACTATAGGAAATAGTCCCGTACTATTCCCAACTCTCGTTCCCACCAATGCAACTCCTGTGTAGCCAGGATCTACAGCTTGACCGCCATAAAAACCCAACCAATGAAGGTCAAGTTTGTCCCGGGGAAAGTTAAACTGTCATTGGACCCGCAACGAAATTAATCAGAAGAACATAGGAGGAGTTCGAAATTAAGGTTCGACTTCCCTCCATTGCAAAGCGGATGACAGGTGACAAACAAAGGTTTAAAACCTTTAAGAAAATATTTAGTAATTTATATGGCCTGGCCTTAATGATAATAATGCTGCCCTATTGTAAATACAAAATATATGTTAAATAAGTCATTTCTTCCTTCAGTAATTACATTCTAAATATTCCCAAATACATAGCCTTGTTGCACTATATTCACCATTCCTTCATTATACAATTCACGACACACTGGTACAGGCATTATTTGCCAGTCAACTTTCAGACTAANAAATACATCATCTTTGGTTCCTATTAGTCAAATGATATAGATCGTTTTATCCAAGGAGACGCGCCCCAACAATTTTTGTTTGAGGGAAAGCGCGGGGTGCGGGGAGTTTGATCCTAGCAATCTGAGCGTCATTATTGCAGTGTACGTGTGCAGTGCACACTGTGCACTCTTAGATAATTTAGCATGTACCAATAACACTCAAACATAAGCGGAAGAATGGTGGGGCACGTCATGTGGATGAAACGATCTATATCCACTGCTGTCTCAAATGGCGGATCATGGGCAGGTCAGACACGGTGGACCGATGACCTAGTAAAGATTGATCATGGGCAGGTCAGACACGGTGGACCGATGACCTAGTAAAGATTGATCATGGGCAGGTCAGACACGGTGGACCGATGACCTAGTCAAGATTGATCATGGGCAGGTCAGACACGGTGGACCGATGACCTAGTAAAGATTGATCATGGGCAGGTCAGACACGGTGGACCGATGACCTAGTAAAGATTGCGGGGAGGCCTTGTCTATTACATCATCTGGATAGACGATATCCTTGCTTTGAAGGCACATCATCATCAGATCATTTAGTCTCCACTCCAGGATCACGACTCTCTCTAATTTATTGAAGGCAGGATTTGTTCTACGTTCTTTACGCTGACCAGACTGGTTGAGAACGGGACTATTCCCACCGCTGCAACTCCTGTGTAGCCAGGATCTATAGCTTGACATCCAATAAAAAACCAACCAGTGAAGGTGTAGTTTGTCCCGGGGGAAAGTTAAACTGTCATTGGACCCGCAACGAAATTTATCAGAAGAATATAGACTGCTTGAGAAGGCATGATGAAGTTTTTTCAGATGTACTAATTATTGTTTTCATTATTTCCACCCCCATTTTCACAGGACCTGTACTACTTCCCCTTCAGACCATCAGAGAAGATCGTAACAACCTGGACGGCCATAGACGAGGTGACCATAGAGAATGGATGCCTGTACGTCCTGCCTGGGAGCCATAGAGGAGACCTGCATAGGCATGGGTATCCTGAAGTGAGTGCTCATAGTTTTGATTGATAACTAGGCAATTAGACCATTACGCGGGTTGAGCCTCGACGCCACTCGATTATTGTGGTGAACCCACTATAGGGAATAGTCCCGTACTATTCCCACCTCTCGTTCCCACCAATGCAACTCCTGTGTAGCCAGGATCTACAGCTTGACCGCCATAAAAACCCAACCAATGAAGGTCAAGTTTGTCCCGGGGAAAGTTAAACTGTCATTGGACCCGCAACGAAATTAATCAGAAGAACATAGGAGGAGTTCGAAATTAAGGTTCGACTTCCCTCCATTGCAAAGCGGATGACAGGTGACAAACAAAGGTTTAAAACCTTTAAGAAAATATTTAGTAATTTGTATGGCCTGGCCTTAATGATAATAATGCTGCCCTATTGTAAATACAAAATATATGTTAAATAAGTCATTTCTTCCTTCAGTAATTACATTCTAAATATTCCCAAATACATAGCCTTGTTGCACTATATTCACCATTCCTTCATTATACAATTCACGACACTGGTACAGGCATTCTTTGTCAGTCAACTTTCAGACTAACCAAAAAAGAATCGTTCGATTCACAATCATTGATTTTTTCTAGAAATTCGAACAGTTGTTCCACGGGATCATGGACGAAGATAAAGTAGCCCCAGAACACAAGCGAGTTGACCTGGTTATGGGTCCAGGGGACACAGTATTCTTCCAATCTGGTCTGGTGCACGGTTCCAGGCCTAATGTGTCCAAGGTATGAATTGGATCATCATCATCATCACCTCTGTTTTGTATAGTTAGCTTTATTTGCAAACTTGGCGGCGCACTGTAGCAGACGAGGCGAAGAAAATCGGCAAGACTTGGAGCGAGATTAAACGCGATGCTCAAGACCGAACGCGATGGAGGACTGTTGTGGACGCCCTCTGCCCCATCTAGTGGACATAGGACCTTTACGCACGTATTCACAAACTATGAGGTCTCACAGTGCGCGTGCACGCGCAGAGTGACACACGAATCAATCACAGAGCTTATTCAACGCTGTGCGTTCGATTTGCTGCTTCACTTAAGCAAGCATCGTTTGTTAATACGGGCGTAAGTCAAGTAAGTCTTGCAAAGAGCTGGTTCAAAGTGATGTAAATACATACAACCTGTGTCTTAGTTCATTCCACTTAGAACCCTTTTTATATTTACCAGGTTTACCGCAAAATCATATCGTGCCACTACGCCAGCGGTGACTGCCACTACATCGATATAACTGGCACCGTACAGCAGAAAATTGCTGACGAAATAGTTGCAGCATTTAAAAAGCGAGGCGTGGATCTCACTTATGAGGTAAAATATTTATAATTTCAGCATAAGGTAAGGTCATTTAGTCTCCACTGTCGAATGACGTCTATTGCTGGCCTCTTCTAAAGATTTTCACAACGACCGGTCCTGCGTTGCCTGCATCCAGGAACTTTCCGCAACCTTCACCAGATCGTCGGTCCACCCTCTGGTAACTTTTGCCTCTGCAAACCCCCCCCCGTCACAAGTCCTATGGCACACCCTGGAACCCCCCAGGATTTTTGGGGTTACCTCCCGATTCGAAGATTGAAAGACAATCGCACCCCCTCGTATCATGACATAGACCGCAGATTTGCCATGCAGATGTGCCAGTGAGTACTAATCTGCACGACTTGTGTCACCCCCTGATGCTTGGCACCCGGGAATCGTGTGCGGTCTTATTCTACTCCGCCACAATCACATGGATATATATTTGTTTCAATTCTACAGAATTATTCCACGTTATTTGTACGCCTAGTGATATTAATCCTTAAATTTTTCACAGGAAATGTGGCGTCACAAATGTAAACAAGTGAAACCTACAAAATCTAATTTGTGAATATAATTAAATAATTTGTTACATGAATATTAAACCATATTAAAGTGAATATATTACCAGTGTGGAAAATAAAGCAATCTTATAATAATCCTGTGTTTATTTGCTCCGTTTGGACGTTAAATCACTGAAATTTTAGATGCATACGAGTAATTTGAGACGAGACTATTCCCACCTCTCGTTCCCACCGGGCTGCTGCAACTCCTGTGTAGTCAGGATCTACAGCTTGACCGCCACAAAAACTCAACCAGTGAAGGTCAACTTTGTCCCGGGGGAAAGTTAAACTGTCATTGGACCCGCAACGAAATTAATCAGAAGAACAGGAGGAGTTTGGAGTTAAGGTTCGACTTCCCTCCAGTTTGAGAGTGAGACACCGGGAAAACATAAGATTATAAGTTTTTTAGTCTAATAGCTTCCACTTGACACTATACTACTACACGGTTACCTGTGATGGTGTGTCTACTTTTGCGCAGCCCCTTAGACCTGTACCTCAAGTACGAAAAACTTTCGAGTTCGTTTCGTTGCGTATTCAAAGTGTCATCGAAAAATTTTGTATGAAAAATTAAACAGCGCCCCCTAGGGCGGCTATAATATAGGGGGCGCTGTTTAGTTTTTCATACAAAATTTTTCGATGACACTTTGAATACGCAACGAAACGAACTCGAAAGTTTTTCCTACTAGAGGTACTGTTTTGCACCAAAGTAGCGAGGAGAGTTTTTTTTATGCAGCAGGTATTTGACTGCAATCGCAGCTGATGTTAAGTGAGACGTTAGATACCAATCATATTTCAGTATTGTATTTCCACATTGCCTTTCCACTCAGCTTAGCTTCGGAATGGGGAACCAATTGTTTATTTAAATTCCTCCTTTCCTTTGGTGGAGTCCGGCCCTTAATGCCGCAATGCTACCCTACTGAGGGGTGGGCACGCGTGTCTCACGCCGATAAGGGTTGAATTTGTTGAAGGGCAATAAATGGTTTAGTGATTATTAGCTTTACCCGCGGCATCGTCAACGACGTCAACGTCAAGTCATACAAAGTTATAAAAAAATATATATTTTTTGGAATTAGGGTTTTAAAAAGCGATTTATATGTCCAGTTAAATATCCCACTACTGCTTCGGGACAATAATGTGGGCCATTGCTGAAATGAAGTAGCGAAAAAACTTAATGGTGATTTTTCAGGATAAAGTCTCCAATAATTCCTCTAACGACGGGTTATTTTATAAATAACATTGTTGTTAATTTTTGAACGTCAAAAGTCTGTCAAAGTCCATACAAAGAACAGTACTGTAAGGGGGTGTTTTAACTCAGCCTTACACTTATTCACAAACGATGCTTGCAAGTGAAGCCGCAAAGCTATGCGAAGTCGAACGCACAGCGTTGAATAGAGCTCTGTGATTGATTAGTGTGTAAAGGTTCGGACAAACCAACGCGATCACAGCGCGATCAACCGGCGTGCAGCGATGGCGATCAATGCATTTAGGTCTGGTCGCCATCGCTGCACGCCGGCTGATCGCGCTGTGATCGCGTTGGTTTGTCCGAACCCTAACTGTGTATCACTCCGACACTCAAGTATTCTCTATGAATAGGTTTTTGGTACCCTGTGAGACCTCATAGTAGTGTTTGTGAATACGGGTGTTAGTCAATCTAATAAAACATTGTTTTTCTTCAATGATTTATTCTGACGTTATCTGAAGATAGAATAAGCATAATGAATATGCAAGCAAAGCCGCGGCACGCGCCTGCTCATCCCTTGCATGGAGTGGGCAGATTATTTTCAATCAACTTGTTTGTGTTTGCAAAAGTGTTATTAATTTGGTATTAACTGGTGAAGGGGACGGTATGGGTGGGAAAAATGATTTTTCTNTTTTTTCTTTTTACCAAATACGAGTAACTACGAGGATTTTTTGTTTAGTATTCAAGTGTGGCCCGGCAAGTGACAGGTTGTGGGTGATTCACCATCATATCAGCCACAGGACGTTTACCGATGCACGTGCATAGGCTTCCCCCAATGATTTCCAGATTGCCCGGTTGCATCCATCCTCGTGGGCAGACCTCCCACTAGGTGGACCGACGATCTGGTGAAGGTCGCGGGAGGTGCCTGGATGCGAGCGGCGCAGGACCGGTCTTTGTGGCAATCGTTGGGGGAGGCCTTTGTCCAACACTGGACGTCTTTCAGCTGAAACGAACGAACGAACGAACTATCCAGCCTCTCCCCGCAACCTTTTAAGGTCATCTGTCCATCTTATGCGTACATTTTCAACACTATCGTCATAAAGTATGGACTACGGGAGCTCTAATAGATACCAGCCACTGCAACTCCTGTACAGCCAGGATCTACAGTTTGCCTACAACCAATGAATGGGTAGTCCCGGGGGAAAGAGTAACAAACATCCAAACTTTCGCATTTATAATATTAATATTAATTTTAGTTGGAAGTAGGATTCACACAACCAGCAACACAAACACACATACACTACAATTATTTCAAATTACACTCGGCTATCACATTCCATTGCTTCTTCTCTTTAACTTTGTTCTATAACCTTAATGTATTAACATAATCAGATGAAAGAGACTGGATCCCACAACACAGGGAATCCTAGTGTGGGAACCAGTGCCTTACTTTATGTGCATGTAAAGTTTTGAAATAAATAAATTTTATTATTATTTATTTTTATTATTATTTATTTATTTAGTTAAACTATCATTGGACCATCAACGAAATTAATCAGAAGAACATAGGAGGAGTTCGAAGTTGAAATTTAAGGTTCGACTTCCCTCTTTCCAGTGCAAAGCGGATGACAGGAGACTAAATGCAGTTGAGGCTAGCGAGAGGTTAATGGTGTTATGTTTATTCTTGTCACAATTACATACGAGTAGTGTTATTTGTCGCATTGTGTACAGACGACGGCACATCAAGCTACTCGTGAGGCATCTTTATGTAGCAGTTATAGGAGCTATTTTGCAATGAAAATGTATAATAAATGTACCTACTAGTTAATTTGACGATTAACTTTAGCCTTCACCTCAGAGGCACAACAACCTTGGCAATGAAATCATGTACTTACGTAATAACTCGACCATTTATTTAAAGTGGCTGACAAACAGGGGCCATAGACAGCATTTGTAATGGACTCTGTCAAGTCTATCCCATCAAAAACAATACTTGTCAAAAAAACCAAGTCTCGCAACTCAGTTGTTCTACGGTAAAAAGTTGTGAGATCCATGTAATAAAAGGCCAGGCCAAGTCCAGGCCAGGAAATCTTTAACGTTTTACATAAATTATTGACTTGGCCATCGCACTAAATAATTTAATTTACACGTGTTTTCATGCGATGGCCAAGTCAATATATTTCATTTGCTTTTTCTTTTAGCATAAGTTATTTTAAGCTTATAATGTAATTTTGTTTCTTGTAATTCCTTTTATGTTTAAAAAGCAATAAACGTTTTTATTATTATTATTATTATTGTTTACACATTGTGTATCTCGATGTGTGTCCATCGGTGTTTTAATGATATTCACGGGCCTGAACCAAGTGAATATCAATACAATATTACTTAAATATAAAAATCTATTGAGCAGTATTATTATTATTAAAGATTTCAGGAAATCTTTAACGTTTCCAGTCCAGGCCAGGGCCTGGACTTGGTATTACATGGATCTCACAACTTTTTACCNTAGGTATTAGATAACGGATATAAACATACTTTTTTTTGTAAATACATACTTATTATACATAGAAAACACCCAGTCCAATACAAACAAATATGTTCATGCACACAAATGTTTGTACTGTGCGGGAATCGAACCCGCTACCTCCGGAATAGTAGTCCATTTCGAACCACTACACCAAACGGCCGACTAATATGTAATTAGTAATAACAAAAGAAAAAACTAAATGTACTAATTATGGGTCTCCTACGTAGGTTCCAAATACGTTGTAGCGACAAACGCTGTTGCGAATTTTTTTTCCACTCCCTCATAGGATCGAAAGTATTCGAAAGCTTATAATGGGCTCGAATGACGTAGTCGCGAACGACTCAGAGAGACTCTCTCTTCAGAGAGTGAAAATTAAGATGTTATAGGACCTATATTCAATCTAGCTACTACGAAAAAATAAATATAAGTGGTCTGAAAATCCACCAGCACCTGGTAATGTTTGTCAACATAATATTTATGTTTTTATTTTTGCAATAAAAATCAAAATGTATAGACGTGGGCGTTACCGATGAGGCACTTTGACCCAAATGAAATGAGCGAGAGATGGGTCTTTTAGTACAGAAAAACCAAAAACATACCTTCACCAGATCGTTGGTCCAGCGAGGCCTGTCTACACGTTTCCCGTTCCGTAGTAGCTACTCGACAGATTCCTATTGTTAATGCTGGACCATGAACGTACTACAAATTATAAGGAAGTTAGTGATGCTATCGCTCCTTCATCGTACATTTCTGTCTATACGTTAATAATTTAGAAACTTACCCATAGAAACTCTTCAATGGTAACCAAACTAACATTTGTTACGATTGCGACGCCCTGTTGTTAACCATTCAACGATAAGATATGATTATTTAAATGGGCGATGCCATCAGTTTGTGCTATATCGCGGTGTGTGGTAGATGTGTTGACCGATCTCAAGGTAAAAATGTATTTTGTTTAATCAAAACTCAGATTAAGGCCCAGTTTCTTGATCTGTGGTTAAAATATCCAACTGTATTTAATGACAAGTGGTTAAATATCAACTTTAGGCGAGTTGCACCACCTTATTTTAACGTAACAATAACGATAACGGGTGTATTTTGTATGGAGTTTGACAGATTTTTGACACTTGTTAAAGTCAAAGTAAGATGGTGCGGTGTAACCCAGCCTAAGTTTTTCGAAGGATGTTTAACTTGACATTATTAGTTCACATTTAATTTTGTTAGCTACGAGTAATAGCACAGAATAATAATAAGTACTACGTAATAGGTACATATAATTTAATCATTGGTAACATTTGACTATTGGGTATTTTAACTATGGATCTAAAAACTGGGCCTTAAATAAACAGGTTGTCTTATAGCATGTGAATTAAATCTTCTATGTCACAAGTATGAGAATAGAGGTATAAATTTTGTAGGAATCCATTTTAAACATAGTTTTTAAAACCTTCTGTCTGTATGTAAGCAGTTCTTTGCGACTTAGTAGTTACTAGATAAGGGACTATTCCCACCTCTCGTTCCCACCGCTGCAACTCCTGTGTAGAGGTGGGCGCCGATATAGAACTAGCCGGCGGCGGCGCGCCGACTTTTTGACTTCGGCGGCGGCGGCGTCGGCGGCGTGACCTTGACCTTTGACCTTGACTTTGACTCATTATTTCTTTAAAAAATCTGTTTGTTTACAGTCTGTCGTCAAGACTATAATTAGGTTTGAAATTGGTTGGGGTTTAACGAGGTAGAGCCACTGCTCCGTCTCTCTCAGTAAATTAGCTTATCAGCTCTTTTGATCGTTTATCTTATCTTGTTCAGGGCCGCGCATGAGCGTAGTGCACGTCGAATCGGTGTCTTTTGTGCTCCCCCATACCTTTATTCCCTCTCATCCGCAAATATCCTATCCATAAAGCTAATCAANACCGGAGGTCGCGGATTCGATTCCCGCACAGTACAAATATTTGTAAAAAAAAACAAATAGTCAGGAGTCGGCGCGCCGACAGCCGATCGTCGGCGGCGGCGGCGTGAAAAATTTCGCGGCGGCGGCGGCGCGCCGGCGTGGCGCCCACCTCTACTCCTGTGTAGCCAGGATCTACAGCTTGACCGGAAATCAAACCCAAGCAATGAAGGCCAAGTTTGTCCCGGGTAGTTAAACTGCCATTACAACTACAAATTTAAGATACATATAAAAAATACCCTTATGTCCAAAGGGTACTTACAAGGTTCGAGACTAGGTATATTAATGACAAGGATGCGTGGTCAGTTCAGTCTGCACATATTTGATGTACTCGAATTTGGTTATTCTTACCGTTAGATAATTCCTGGCAATTAGTACTGAGTTTGTTCCGGCGTTTCTTCTCAGCACTTGCTATATGTTTGTCTCGAAGCGCTGGTAGGGCCCAAAAGATAAGGAGACATGTAAAGTGCCCCATAAGGGCTACCATTTCTTTTTTTATTATTTTCTATAATAATATTTTGACGTTCATAAGTGCCACTTGTGGTCTAAACTGAATAAATACTTTTTATTTACATTTTTGATGATTAAGTAGTTAAAGTTATTCTAGTATACATAGTTTAATAGCACTTAACATGTTTATTTTGTTCTACTCGTATGTTATTAACCTTGACATTAACCGACGTGATAATAAATGACTCTTTTCGTATCATTTAACTTTTATTTATTTATTTAGGTTGATAGTTACGTAACCGTAACTATAATAACCGGTATTTTTTGTATGGAGTTTGACAAACTTTTGACGTTTGTTAAAGTTAAAGTAAGATGGATAGAATGCAAAACAAATGCCAAGATGAAGTATTTTTTCACCAACCAATTAGGGTAAACTGCCAGTCATTGGACACTTAAGAGCGTTGTAGCAAAAAGTTGGCGTTCGAATTTTAGGTTTTTATTGCTTGACGTCGCGTAGTGAGTGCGCAAACTCCATTTATCTGTACAATTTCAACGCTGCGTCGACTAAACGATCTTAATCCGTAGTTGTATCGTACCTGAGACAGTACATCATACATGATAATAAAGAAATAACGTATAATTTACCTATTTGATNGTCCAATGACTGGCAGCGTCCAATGACTGGCAGCGTCCAATGACTGGCAGCGTCCAATGACTGGCAGCGTCCAATTTTTTATTATAAGTAGATTAGTTATGTGACGCAGAAACAGTCGGCCTTATCAAATTATTATTATGACTAAGCAGTTTTAAAATGAGATTAATTAAAAACATCTTACGTGTATCAATGCGATTCGTGTTTGTGATTCTTAATAATAGCTAATTAATGAAATTAATGAGATTGTTATATAAAAATACCAACTGACTTGAGAACCTCTTTCTTTTTGAAGTCGGTTAAAAATACGTACAGAAAGATTAAAGTACAAAGTTGCTAATCGGTATAGGTAGGCTCCGGAGGATTCCGTCGACTGGGACCGCGGTCCTAGTTAATTGCGGTCCCAGTCGCCGGAAGCCTCGGCTCCGATCTTGAGGTAAGGAGTTCATAAAATATTTATTTTTATGGACCCAGCGGTCCTAGTTAATTGCCGTCCCAGTCGCCGGAAAACTCCGATCCTGCGCTGCCCACATCCAGATGCTTCTCGCGCGCGATGTTTACCAGATCGTCGGTCCACATAGTGCGAGGCCCGCCCACACTACGTCTCCGGAAGACGTGGTCGCCAATCGAGAACTTTTCAGCCCCAGCGGACATCTTCTACTAGCTATGCCCCGCCCACTACCAATTCTTTCACTTCATCATTTCAGCCATAGGACGTCCACCGCTGAACATAGGCCTCCCCCAATGCTTTCTATGTTGATCGATTGGTAGCGGCTTGCGTCCAGCGCTTCCTTTATGATGTCGTCGGTTCACCTTGTGGGTGGACGTCCCACGCTGCGTTTTCCGGTACACGGCCTCCTAGAGTGGAGGCACTCTAGAGCCTTGCTGCCCCATCGGCCGTCAGTTCTGCGTACTATGTGCCCTGCCCATTGCCACTTCAGCTTGCTAATCCGTTGGTTTGTCAGCGACTTAAGTTCGTCGTATACATAGTAAAAACTCAATATTTCTCAATAACTCCTAGATGGTCAAGGCCGTGTTCAAGGTGGTACTCTTCCTGGCGGTGGTCTTCCTGCCGATCTACTTCTTGTTCCTGGCGCCTCCACCACCGTTGCCAGAGCTCGACCACGACGCCTGGTGGGGACCAGAGAACTTGAAGGCGAAGCAGGATACCAGCATCAAGACATTTAAGGTCAAATTTGATAAAGTGGTGAGTATAAGATGCTATTAAAAACTCTTAAGGTTCCGCCAAACCAAATCGCGCAGCCCGTGCGCGATGGCGATCAGTAGAAATGAGTAGATAGATAGATAGATAAATTATTTATTTGCATACGCACATGAAGAGTAAAGTTGCAGCATAACAATATTAAGAAAAGAATAAAATGCAGCAGAATACTAAACAAACAAACAAAGCAGTTACAAGTGGAAGAATACTTCCTGCATGATGTGTGTCGCAGTGCAGCGATGCAAAAAGCAAAGAGCTCAATGTAAACACTGCCCTTAAAAGGGCTGAACACTGATTTTCAGTTCTTGCTAGGGAATCCGCCAGAACTAAATGCATTAATGAACGAAAGTAGGATCGCCATCGCTATCGTGCACACGGGCTGCACGCGTTAGCTAAGAAAGAGTCTCTTTCAGGTGAAATCGTGAAAGAGACCTTTAACGAGTAAAAGTAAGAAGTATTTTAGGGTCAAAGCAGTAAATACTGTCGTGTTCGCGTCTTGACAGAGACAAGAAATTGAGACGGGAGACGCGCAAATGTAAAAGTGTTTTTAAAAGCCTACTTGCAAAAAATAATGAATTAAAAAAAAAACGTTCCATAACTAAATAGCTATCTACTTATCTCATGCCTCTATCTGGTTCGCGAACTAATTTTGCATTTTCTAAAGTCTTTGATTCTCTTTCAGCTAGTAAAAGATCTCCAGGATCGTCTAAAGTCCCGTCGTCCGTTCCCACCTCCACTACAAAACGTTGGCTTCGAATATGGTTTCAACACGAACACTTTGGAGACTTGGCTCCAATACTGGGCAAAGGATTACAACTTCGCCGAGCGAGAGGCGTTCTTCAACCAGTACCCTCATTTCAAGACCAACATCCAAGGATTGGACATCCATTTCCTCAGGGTGACTCCTCAGGTAATTATTTATTTCATCACCATCACATCAATCAGCCATGTGAGTTGCCTGATTACCTCTAACATCAATAAGAAGTAATATTTCACTATAAACTTTACAATACGCCGCAATACGCAATTTCTTAGAAGAAAGACCTATTGTGTATCGAGAAAACATTTTTCTTTTCTTTTCCATGTCTATTAGCTGACTAGTTAAATGGCTATTAAGAGTGTTTCGCGGTCCAGCAACATTTAAAATTGAGAGCAACATAATAAAGAGTCCGGCTGCTCTCAATTAAAAAGATATGATAAGTTTATCACAAAATAATCACTATTGTAATTTGACAGGTACCCGAGGGTGTCCAATTAGTGCCCCTTCTCCTCCTACATGGGTGGCCAGGATCCGTCCGAGAGTTCTACGAGGCCATCCCTCTACTAACTGCTGTCAGTAAGGACAGGGACTTTGCGCTGGAGCTCATCATCCCCAGTCTTCCAGGCTATGGGTATTCTTCTGTAAGTAAAAATGGCAATTTTTCTAACCTGCTTTGATAAAACTTAGTTCTACCATTCAGTAACGTTTTGTTAATTAGCTTTTCTCTTTTCAAACCTGTCATGTGGTAAGTTCAAGTAGGTCTTAAAATGGGTCTTGAATTACCCCTTGAAAAATAAAACCGACTCCAAAAAACCTACACTAAAACGTAGAAAAATAATTACTATATAAAGTTTGCCTGCACCGACTCCAAAAGTATCAATCATGGTATACCTACATAAATATTAATAATTCGTCCTAATAAATAAGTAGGTAGGTAATTAGTAATTATTTTTCTACGTTTTAGTGTAGGTTTTTTGGAGTCGGTTTTATTTTTTATTATAAAATTTTACTTATTTCTTGCTTTTTAGTTAACTAATTATTACCTTGATGTTACNACGAGGCCATCCCTCTACTAACTGCTGTCAGTAAGGACAGGGACTTTGCTCTGGAGCTCATCATCCCCAGTCTGCCAGGCTATGGGTATTCTTCCGTAAGTAATAATGGCAATCTGCTCTGATAGTGTGATATTGTTCAGTAACCTCTTTTTAAAATATTTTTTCCTTTGAACTGGTCTGTAGATCAAGAACTAAATTATGCAATATTGTCTTGTTAAAAAAACCATTTGAAAATAGGACTAATGAACCCTTTTATTCGTAGTCAGGTCTAGTCTCCACTGTTTTGACCCTTTTCAATATACCACAGTCAAGTAGAGGATATGGCCTACACTCCTGTTTTGGCCAGATGGGTCAGGAAGACATGTGATTACTGTTTTTACCTATACTTTTTCAAGATAATCTTCTTTATTGTTCTTCAATTATTGATATTTTTAGCCAGCAGTTCGTCCTGGAATGGGACCTTCAGAGATAGCTCTGATTATGAAGAACCTGATGCACAGGCTCGGCTTCAAGAAGTTTTACGTACAAGGCGGTGACTGGGGCGGTCTTATTGGATCTCATATGTCTACCTTCTTCCCAAAGGTAAGTAAACTTACATTAATAGAGAAAAAAAATATTTAATATTTTTTTGCAAATCGGCAAAAATTAAAAAACAAAAGAGCTTTATGATTGCCAGTTGCCGTTGCTACGAGTAGTTCCAAACTACGAGGGTGATTATTATTATCGTGCCACAATTTTTGTATAGGTATTTCTGTTTTCCTAAGGGTTTGGAAAAACCAACGCGATCACACCGCGATCAGCCGGCGTGCAGCGATGGCGACCAGACCTAAATGCATTGATCGCCATCGCTGCACACCGGTTGGTCGCGTTAGTTTGGCCGAACCTTAAGACTACATAGTAGTGCATGGTTTACTTAGTACATAGAGGTAACCAATTGAGGCCTCTAGTCTTCTTATAGTTGAAATATGGTGGAGAAAAATCGTTGATTCACAAATATTAATTAATGGTTTGATTCGGGAAAAGAGTAAGACTAAGCAAATTATCTTGGTTGTAAAATAACGAAACTTACCAAGATTTTTATTGTACCCATTCCAGGAGGTGCTAGGATTCCACTCCAACGGTATCATCCTGATGAGCCAGAAGACCTCTCTCATCACCATCCTTGGCTCCATCTACCCCACCCTGATTATGGACGAGAAGTACGTGGATAGACACTATCCCTTGTCCGAATACTACAGCAACCTCATTGAAGAGATGGGCTACATGCACATCCAGGCTACCAAGCCTGATACTGTTGGTAAGGGATCTATCAATATTATTAGCTTCATAGTTTAGGCTTTTGTATAATTCACAATAATTCTAAGCTGAATCAGTATATTACCAATTATTTTTTGGTGATCTCACCATTATGTGACCAAATTCAGTACGAAATAGGATAGGATGAATTCTTAAAAGAGTTAGGGGAGAGTTCGGTATATTGTACCGCCGGGTAAATTGTACCACCCTCATATTTCGTAAAGTATTTATTAAATGTCTGTAATTGCAACACTCAGCGATACACAACTAAAATCAATTAATATCGGCCATGTGGTTTTTGCCGTGACAACAAACACGTGTNGAAGAAAGAAGAAAGACGAATTGAGGAGACCTAATGTAATTAAGTACGCTTTTTAGGATAATCTTCTTTATTGTTCTTCAATTATTGTTTTTTTTTAGCCAGCAGTTCGTCCTGGAATGGGACCTTCAGAGATAGCTCTGATCATGAAGAACCTGATGCATAGACTCGGCTTCAAGAAGTTTTACGTACAAGGCGGTGACTGGGGCAGTCTTATTGGATCTCATATGTCTACCTTCTTCCCTGAGGTAGGTGATACTTTAACTTATTAAGAAAAAGACGTTAAATTCAACGATTTTCTGCAATAGGCTTTTAAAATAAAAAGAGCTTTATAATTGCCAGTTGCCGTTGCTAGTTATAAACTAAGAGGGTAACACAGTATGAGCATCAAAACCACAAATTACATTGTGCATGTTTTGCTAAGTATACTTAATTAAAATTTAGGACTCTATATTAACCATCAGGTTGGAGAATAGTAGAGAAAAATTGTGAATCTCATACTTATGTTCATTGTTTTTTGTTGTTTGTTTTGGAAAAGAGTAAGATGAAGCATGTATCCAAACTTACCAGGATTTGTATTGTATCCATTCCAGGAGGTGCTAGGGTTCCACTCCAACTGCATCTTCCTGATGAGCCAGAAGACCTCTCTCATTACCATTCTTGGCTCCATCTACCCCACCCTGATTATGGACGAGAAGTACGTGGATAGACACTATCCCTTGTCTGAATACTACAGCAACCTCATTGAAGAGATGGGCTACATGCACATACAGGCTACCAAGCCTGATACTGTTGGTAAGGGATCTATCAATATTATTAGCTTCATGGTTTAGGCTTTTGTATAATTCACAATGATTCTAAGCTGAATCAGTATATTACCAATTATTTTTTGGTGATCTCACCATTATGTGACCAAATTCAGTACGAAATAGGATAGGATGAATTCTTAAAAGAGATATATTGCAAGCTGGATCTGTAGACAGCGTTAGCACGTGCCCATTGATTATGTTTAATAAAAAATATCTACGTGGCGTGACTCTCAAGAACTGAAATGATGACAAATGTTTTACCAAAGGCACCCGAAAAGTTCGTATCATGCTGGTTGATACAAATCCTTTTTACAAAATGCTATCGTGGTTGATACAAATAACTATGCCTCTGGCATCTTTTGACTATTTTCAGTATTACAAATCACTAACCAGATGTTGAATACAGGTATCGCCTTACTGGATTCTCCTTCTGGTCTTCTCGCCTACATCCTGGAAAAGTTCTCGACCTGGACCCGTTTGGACCACCGGAGCAAGGTGGACGGAGGCCTGGAGTTCAGGTTCACCAAAGACCAGCTTCTCGACAACCTGATGATGTACTACGCGCCTAAGAGCATTACAACTTCGATGCGGTTGTACTCGGAGTATTTTAACAAGAGAGGAATGGAGATGAAGATGGATGAGTGAGTACAATGTCCTGTGTTTCATCATCATCATCATTAATCTATAGCAGTCCACTGGACATAAGCCTCCCAGTTAGTCTGTTATTTGGCATTTGCCTGCACTTTTTAGCCTTCTAAATGAAACCAACAGCTATAAAAGGACTTACTGCTATCCTTTTGTAGTTTTATGACTATTTACACACCGGGTCAGGATGTGGGTGCCATGGGTCGCGTGACCTGTCATTGGCCTATGATCGCGCCGGCGATGGCGATTTGCACGCAATGGTGTGGTTGAAGCATTAATGATTAAGACATTTGGCACACACACCAAAGCATTATGCTCTCTATTTTATGAAGCGCATGTCTTAAACTATTATATCCTCAAGAATGTTTTTTCAAGATCCCCTTTATGAAGGTCTTGTTTTAGGTTGTATCATAAGTTCCGCCACTTTTGCTCAGCACTAGCCGATACGTTTTCCCGAAATGGTTGTGGGCAAGTTATATTAGGACGTGTATAAGTACCCTGAAAAGACTATACCTACATAAGTACAGAATTTGAATTGTATTTTCTTTCCAGGATCCCTTCACCAGTCCCCGTCTGGGTGGTCCAGGCTAGACACGAGCTGGCCTACCTTCCCCCCTGGCTGATCAGGTTCAAGTTCCCCAACCTGGTGAATGCCACCCATCTGGATGATGGAGGCCACTTCTTAGCCTTCGAAACCCCTACACCGTTCTCAGAGGACGTCCTAAATGCTATCACAGCTTTCAGGAAGCTACAGAAGAAGGAGAGCAAAGAAGAGCTGTGATGACTTGATAGATTTAGGTTTTGAAAGTTATTTTTTTAATAAAGTTTTGTTTTTGACAGTTGTTTATTTAATTCGGAATTCGAACTAGGAAAGAATGATTACATTTGGAGAGTACTGCAATGTATGTAGAGATAGTGGAATGCTTTCTGAAATCATAAATCAATACCAATAGAGACAACAACGATTTATCTAGAACAGTGTTCACATCACAAAAATCGACCCTCCCGCGACAAGCACTTTCAAACGTATGCATTCCCACTTCCCACAAATGTTGGCGCCATTTGAAAGCCTAGTTCTAAGTTCTAAGTTTTTTTTCCTACAGAATACCAGCATCATGTTCTTTACGGAATATGATACAAGCTGAGTAGGAGCCATTTTGGTTCAACAATTTATCTATAATTATCAACCAAATTGTGTAACATTACTATGTTTGAACCAAATAAACAATTTTCTTTCTTTCTTTCTTTCTTTAAAGTTCATTTCATTAAAGGAAAGGTTTTTACCCCAAAAATGTGTCTTTATAAGGATCCAGAGTCCAGAGTCACAAAAATAGGTAGTTACGCTTGAGCCAACTTTTATGGTTTTAATACTGTTAAGTTGAGATTAATCGCTATCCATCTGTTAAAGAGGACATGTGAGATCATTATTTGGTTTTATAACCATAAAAATTGGTCTAATTGATCCCAGCCCAGAGGTGAGCCCAAAGTTAGGTCTTATTTCAAGTCACCTTTATTGTTTAAGTTAATCGTTTATTAAGAAATTCAATGTGGTTTTCTTTATGTATATTTATTGGGCTTTGAAATAACACCAATATTATTGGGGCAGCATGATTGTGTCAGTAGAAACGAGTTTTCCTGTAAAACGTACTGCCGCACAATTTATAAACGCAGTAAGTAACACGTGAACAGTTTCGAGAAAAACGCGATCAAAGTTGAAATTTTATTTTGGGGTGTCTACAATTAGTTACGCAAATATTTGTAAAAAAATATATATAGGCTTATAGAGCTAAACTCAAAGTTTAATTTGATATGAGGTTTTTNCAAAATCGTGATAACGTGTAAAACAATATCAATTGTATATGTTATTAACTACTGTTCCTCTTCGTTTCCTAATTTGTTAAGAATGTATCGTATAATATTTTGCCATAGTTTTTTTAAAGGCTTGAAATTTATTGAAATCCAATTTAATAACCCTGCGGTACAAATTATCGAACCGGTTGGCTAAATTGGACCGAAGCTCTGAACTCGTACTTTGTTGATTTGTGCTAAATATACAACAATCATGTTAATTAATACTTATGAAATAGTAAGTTGAATAATGTATCTTTTATTATATACCATGGACATTAGCAAAAACAAAAGAAAACTATGTGTAAAATAGGATTGAAAAAAAATGGTCCAAATTAGCGGACTCTCCCTTATATATTGCAATACGCGCCCATTGATTATGTTTAATAAAAATATCTACGTGGCGTGACTCTCAAGAACTGAAATGATGACAAATGTTTTACCAAAGGCACCCGAAAAGTTCGTATCATGCTGGTTGATACAAATCCTTTTTACAAAATGCTATCGTGGTTGATACAAATAAATATGCCTCTGGCATCTTTTGACTATTTTCAGTATTACAAATCACTAACCAGATAATGAATACAGGTATCGCCTTACTGGATTCTCCTTCTGGTCTTCTCGCCTACATCCTGGAAAAGTTCTCGACCTGGACCCGTTTGGACCACCGGAGCAAGGTGGACGGAGGCCTGGAGTTCAGGTTCACCAAAGACCAACTTCTCGACAACCTGATGATGTACTACGCGCCTAAGAGTATTACCACTTCGATGCGGTTGTACTCGGAGTATTTCAACAAGAGAGGAATGGCGATGAAGATGGATGAGTGAGTGTCCTGTGTTTCATCATCATTATTAATCTATAGCAGTCCACCAACTGGACATAAGCCTCCAAGTTAGTCTGTTAGTTGGTTCTTGACTGCACTTTTTAGCCTTCTTAATGAAACCAACAGCTATAGAACACTTAATGCTATCCTTTTGTAGTTTTATGACTACACACCGGGTCAGGAATTCAGGATGTGGCAAAGTAAAAAGATGTTAAGACGTGCGTGAATTGTCATGTGTCGCGTGACCTGTCATTGGCCTATGATCGCGCCGGCGATGGCGTCTTGCACGCAATGGTGTGGTTTGGCACACACACCAAATGAAGCATTATGCTCTCCATTTTAGTCCTTTTATGAAGCGCATGTCTTAAACTATTATATCCTCAAGAATGTTTTTTCAAGATCCCCTTTATGAAGGTCTCGTTTTAGGTTGTATCATAAGTTCCGCCACTTTTGCTCAGCACTAGCCGATACGTTTTCCCGAAATGGTGGTAGGGCAAGCTATATTAGGACGTGTATAAGTACCCTGAAAAGACTATACCTACATAAGTACAGAATTTGAATTGTATTTTCTTTCCAGGATCCCTTCACCAGTCCCCGTCTGGGTGGTCCAGGCTAGACACGAGCTGGCCTACCTTCCCCCCTGGCTGATCAGGTTCAAGTTCCCCAACCTGGTGAATGCCACCCATCTGGATGATGGAGGCCACTTCTTAGCCTTCGAAACCCCTAAACCGTTCTCAGAGGACGTCCTAAATGCTATCACAGCTTTCAGGAAGCTACAGAAGAAGGAGAGCAAAGAAGAGCTGTGATGACTTGATAGATTTAGGTTTTGAAAGTTATTTTTTTAATAAAGTTTTGTTTTTGACAGTTGTTTATTTAATTCGGAATTCGAACTAGGAAAGAATGATTACATTTGGAGAGTACTGCAATTTATGTAGAGATAGTGGAATGCTTTCTGAAATCATAAATCAATACCAATAGAGACAACAACGATTTATCTAGAACAGTGTTCACATCACAAAAATCGACCCTCCCGCGACAAGCACTTTCAAACGTATGCATTCCCACTTCCCACAAATGTTGGCGCCATTTGAAAGCCTAGTTCTAAGTTCTAAGTTTTTTTTCCTACAGAATACCAGCATCATGTTCTTTACGGAATATGATACAAGCTGAGTAGGAGCCATTTTGGTTCAACAATTTATCTATAACTAGCTTTCCGCCCGCGGCTTCGCCCGCGTGGAATTTTGTCTGTCACAGAAAAACTTTATCGCGCGCGTCCCTGTTTCAAAAACCGGGATAAAAACTATCCTATGTTCTTTCCCGGGACTCAAACTATCTCTATGCCAAATTTCATTAAAATCGGTTGCGAGGTTTAAGCGGGAAAGCGTAACAGACAGACAGACAGACAGAGTTACTTTCGCATTTATAATATTAGTTGGGATTATCAACCAAATTGTGTAACATTACTATGTTTGAACCATCTTTCTTTCTTTCTTTCTTTAAAGTTCATTTCATTAAAGGAAAGGTTTTTACCCCAAAAATGTGTCTTTATAAGGATCCAGAGTCACAAAAATAGGTAGTTACGCTTGAGCCAACTTTTATGGTTTTAATACTGTTAAGTTGAGATTAATCGCTATCCATCTGTTAAAGAGGACACGTGAGATCATTATTTGGTTTTATAACCATAAAAATTGGTCTAATTGATCCCAGAGGTGAGCCCAAAGTTAGGTCTTTTTTCAAGTCACCTTTATTGTTTAAGTTAATCGTTTATTAAGAAATTCAATGTGGTTTTCTTTATGTATATTTATTGGGCTTTGAAATAACACCAATATTGTTGGGGCAGCATGATTGTGTCAGTAGAAACGAGTTTTCCTGTAAAACGTAGGTGGGCCGATTTTTGTGATGACCACTCAAACAGGTTGAATAATTTGTAAATAAAGTTCTTACATAATTTAATTTAACCCATTTACCTAATCATATTTAATCGCCAACCTTTGTATGTCCAAATGATAAGAACTTTCGAGACTGATAATAATTTTATTGGTGTACTTTAGTTACAAAGACGAGATACGAATGTGAAAGAGCATGCACAGATTAAAAGTCTAGAGATCTATTTTATGAACCAGCGAAGAGATCACAGTCTTAATTAGATTGATATCGGACATCAAATGAAAAAATCCAAAGAAAGTCGACTGAAGATTGTCTTTTTTTAATGCAGAACAAGGCAGGTATTTTACTGCAATCTCACCTGATGTTAAGTGAGATGCAGTCTAGGATGGTACATAACTACTTGCCCCTTACGTCCTTCGTGTCCTTATTCTCTCGCCTTGAAGAAACCCGGATTATAGTGTTTGGGAAAGTCAGCAGGCAGCGAATTCCAGTCCCTAGCTGTTCGCATTATAAGAGTTAGTGAAAAGCTCAGTGCGAGCTGGTGGAATGTCGACAATGTCAATTCGACGGGTCAAAAACATCTTAAGATGAAACGTAAGTTATAATAAACTAGCTTTCCGCCCGCGGCTTCGCCCGCGTGGAATTTTGTCTGTCACAGAAAAACTTTATCGCGCGCGTCCCTGTTTCAAAAACCGGGATAAAAACTATCCTATGTTCTTTCCCGGGACTCAAACTATCTCTATGCCAAATTTCATCAAAATCGGTTGCGAGGTTTAAGCGGGAAAGCGTAACAGACAGACAGACAGACAGACAGACAGACAGACAGAGTTACTTTCGCATTTATAATATTAGTTGGGATTAGTAGGTATGATAATATTATGATTTCGTTGCGGGTCTAATACAGCTTAACTTCTCCCGAGATAAACTTGGCCTTCACTGTTTGGGTTTTTTGGTGGTCAAGCTGTAGATCCTGGCTACACAGGAGTTGCAGCGGTGGGAACTAGAGGAGGGAATAGTCCCGTGGAGATCAAGCTGTAGATCCTGCCACAGGAGTTGCAGCGGCAGGAACTATAGAAGGGAACAGTCTCGTATTATTATTATTATTATTGGTTTTTGGGCCTTTATTTGCGCCAACTCGACCAGGTTTGATCTATTGTGGCAGCCCTTGTCTTTAAAGTTCACTGCTTAGTCCCGTTGAGTCTATAAATTTCCAGATTCTTTGGAGCGTGATATCTGCTATCTCATCCGGGTGCATGATGTGTCGCCCGAGATGGATACTTCTTTTGCTCATAAGCGGGAAGCATGAGCAAAGAACATGCATGGCCGTTTCTTCTTCTGTATGGCAGAATCTGCACAGAGTTTCCTCGGTCATGTTCATGTTCGATTTAAAACAGTCTCGTAGGTATAATATCATAAAAATATTACGATGCAGCGGGCAAAGACTAAAACGATAAAGCAAAGATTGAGCGACTCCAGCGCAGTATCTCTACGTTCTACGTAAACAACCGTCTCTACATAGTAACGGACGCACACATACAAGAACGCCGGCCGGCGTATTATCATATTACTGTAACAGTACAGCTTTAGTACACAATTCGATGCCGTGTGGGTCGGCTGTGTACTGAATAGCAGCAATTGTGTCCCGTTATTTTTTAGGTGAGTCACTTTTAATTTGGTAGTATCTTTTCTTGTTTTGGTGTTATGTGTTTTTGACGCATTAAACCGGTGGTATTCTAGTATTAAAACTAGTTTTGTTTGTTATGTTATGTCCGTGTCACGGTATGTAGTAGGTTATTTAAGATTGTGATTGTTGGTACTTACTGTGCGTATACTGTTATACAAGAGATAATGTAGTGTGTTATTAAATTTTTCGCGAAATAGGTATGTAGAAGATGATTTTGCTAAAACTCTAGGTATTGTGTTTCTATATAATGGACTTTTAGAGCTCTGTGATTGGTTCGTGTATCACACTGTGCGTCCACTCGCACTGTGAGACCTCATACAGTTTGTGAATACGGGCGATAGTTGTCTAGTCTAAAGATATGGTAGGTAGGTACTTAGTTAAATTACGAAAATTGTATCGTATAAAAATATTTCGATTATTTTACCCGATTGCAGNCATGCCAAATAACCGTGATCGGAACCATGATCGAACTTTTTCGCGAAAGTAAAGGAAACGATGCCCATTCAGCCTATTTTGCAAATTTGATAGAAAATACGTAGATTCTGGGACTAAAGTTCGTAGGTTTGCAAGGAAGGCATAAAATACGTAGATCTACGTAAAAATACGTAGAGTTGGCAACCCTGGGCCGGCGTATTATCATATTACTGTAACAGTACAGCTTTAGTACACAATTCGATGCCGTGTGGGTCGGCTGTGTACTGAATAGCAGCAATTGTGTCCCGTTATTTTTTAGGTGAGTCACTTTTAATTTGGTAGTATCTTTTCTTGTTTTGGTGTTATGTGTTTTTGACGCATTAAACCGGTGGTATTCTAGTATTAAAACTAGTTTTGTTTGTTATGTTATGTCCGTGTCACGGTATGTAGTAGGTTATTTAAGATTGTGATTGTTGGTACTTACTGTGCGTATACTGTTATACAAGAGATAATGTAGTGTGTTATTAAATTTTTCGCGAAATAGGTATGTAGAAGATGATTTTGCTAAAACTCTAGGTATTGTGTTTCTATATAATGGACTTTTAGAGCTCTGTGATTGGTTCGTGTATCACACTGTGCGTCCACTCGCACTGTGAGACCTCATACAGTTTGTGAATACGGGCGATAGTTGTCTAGTCTAAAGATATGGTAGGTAGGTACTTAGTTAAATTACGAAAATTGTATCGTATAAAAATATTTCGATTATTTTACCCGATTGCAGGAAAATATTCGTCTTTTTGCCTCTATTATATGAGTCATAACATAATAACTGTTTGACTACTACTTACCTGCTCAATTGATATGACCTCTATCTGGTATTTGTTTTGCAATTAACATTTTGTTTTTGTTTAATAGAGAATTAATTATTTAAATTAACTTTCATATTTTGATGTTGTACTCGTATTTATCTTTGACACCTTTTACATTATATATAATCATGATCAGGCATTTAACATCTTCTAAATTTGTTTATTTACTTTATTCACATATAAAACCATAGGCAAACTTTTAGAATAATAATATGTAACTCGTCTCTACATTATTTTCACACCTTATGTCCCACTGATGGGCAAATATCTTTAAAATATGTTCTTTTTATGTCTTTCCGTGATTAACTTCACATGTTCCATTGGGTTTACTTGTTTTCATTTTTCCAACATGACTACCATTAACCATTCCCACCTCTCGTTCCCACCGCTGCAACTCCTGTGTAGCCAGGATCTACAGCTTGACCGCCACAAAAACCCAACCAATGAAGGTAAAGTTTGTCCCGGGGAAAAGTTAAACTCTCATTGAACCCCCAAGGCCACCATTAGGCTATTTCATCATCAGGTCATTTAGTTTCCACTGCAGGATCATGAACTTCTCTAATAATAATAAATAATAATAAATAATAAATATTTTATTCACTTAAACAACCCAGTAATTTACTATATAAAGTAATTAGTAAAATTATGTTACTCTAGGGTTAGTTTTAATTTTTAGTGTCACAATAACTTGGACCCCTGACCCGGAAACTAGTAAAAAACTGTATTATCAGTGATTCCTCAAACGGATTTAATAAAAAAAAATAAAATAAAAAACACAGGACAGTGTTTAAACAACCAGGAAGTGGGTTACTGAGTTACATAAAAATTATTAAGATAACTAGGTATACAAAGAGGGAAAAGATAAAAATAAAAATAATACCCGAGGTAAATGGAAAATTTGGCCTAGACTCTCCACCCTGGCCAGACCGGTTAGGGAAGCTCCACCTACGTCTATGGATTTACTTAACCCTAGAGTGCTCGCGCTATGAGCATTTTGCCGCCCTCGGCAAAAAAATCGAGTTATTTTCTACACGATGCGTTTGTTAAAGTCAAGCGTTTCAGTAGCTGCCTCCCCATACTTCACCTCCATGTATTAGAAATTAGAAGAAATTTAGTGCGCAGGTGACCGCAATAGAGAACGATTATTGAACGTATGTCACGTTTTGCGGCAAATTGCTCACTGCGCGACTACTGACGTAAGTAAAATTTGTGTGTCTGGTTTTTAGTGTAGTTGGAAGATTATTAGTTTTCATTGCGTATAATGTTGTTTTGACATTAATGACGTCATAACATTGATAATTACTATTAGTGCTTAATTTATTTCATGTCGTTTTCGGTAAAATTCACGTAAAATACAAAAAATGAAAAAANTTGTATGGAAGGTGGCGTCTTTTTTTTTTCGCGCGGCCATCGACCAAACTTTGTTTTTTGATTACAAAATAGTGTAATAAACCAAACTTACTATGGCATGTATACCTCTAAACTCAGTCTGAACTGAGTTACGAGCATTAGAAGTTTGATGATTTTCATACTAGATTTGCTTTTTGCGCGCAAGTTTTGTAAGAAATTGCAACAAAATATTGCGCTATTTTTTTATTGCGCTGATTCTGCTGCATACTGATGTCTGGAGCCTTTAATGGATGGTATTGTTTGTTTACACATATAATGTCACTATTTTGTTGCAATTTCTTACAAAACTTGCGCGCAAAAAGCAAATCTAGTATGAAAATCATCAAACTTCTAATGCTCGTAACTCGGTTCAGACTGAGTTTAGAGGTATACATGTAATAGTAAGTTTGGTTTATTACACTATTTAATAATCAAAAAATAAGGTTTGGTCGATGGCCGCGCGAAAAAAAAAAGACGCCAATTTCCGGCATTGTCTTTTGGCCTAGACTCTCCACGCTGGCCAGACGGGTTGGGGAAGCTCTTCTACGTCTATGGAATTTCTTAAGTAATATTATGCAAATTTTAATAGGCATCAAAGGCCTATGACCCATACAAAAATAATCATAAATTATGATAAGTATGTATAATAACAGTTCCTCTATGTTTGAGGATTCCGGGTGAAGCTCGCTTCCACCTTCGGCCTGATCATCACTTAATTCACTTACCATCAGGTGAGATACATGCCAAGAGCTTCCTCGTTGTGGATAAAAAAACCTATAGAAGTAACATAGGAATACATAATGAAAGAAGAAATAGTGGACGGATCAGTGCCACCTTGTCACAACTGCGATGTCCATTGCAATGGGACTCCACTCAACATAAGCCGTGGCCCACAGTGACGTTGGCCACGACCCTGACTGCCTATGTTCCCATCAAAACTTAAAGTGTTCAAGGTGATACCTAAGATGATAATATGTAATTAATTTCTGCTTTGTCATCTTGATAATGATCAAGTAAATTGATCATGACAAAGCAGAAATAATTTAACAGAACAGGTTTAGTTAGGCATACGACTTATTATCAGTAGTTTGTTTTGCACTTTAATCCTAACCTTCGAAACTCTTATTTTTTAGTACCTAAGTTATTATATGATCTGTGTGCCTACCATGAGTTTACGTTAGGTGTGCTCGCTAGCGACTGCGTAAAAAAATGACATTTAAATGTATGACATATTGTGCAGCGCCCCTAGCGGCTACTTTCAAGAAATAAAATCTTCATATAATTTTTTGACGTATTCGCTAGCGAGCTCACCTAACGTAAACTCATGGTAGGCACACTGAATCTATCATGAAGCAGGTTTATTTATTTTAGGCTGGGTTGCACCATCATACTTTAACTTTAATAAATGTCACATATCTGTCAAACTCCATACAAAAAACACCGGTTATAGTAATAGTTACGCTCAAAGTTAGGTGGTGCAACTCAGCCTAAGTGTCCAAGGTGATACAAGATGATAGTATGTAATTAATTTCTGCTTTGTCATCTTGATTATAATCAAGTAATGATCATGACAAAGCCGAAATCATTTAGCAAAACAGGTTTAGGCAGGCATACCACTTATATCAGTCATTTGTTTTGCACTTTAATCCTGAACTTTGAACTCTTATTTTTTTAGTACCTAAGTTATTACCTGATCTGAGTCTATTATGAAGCAGGTGTTTTTTATCTTAGTTTTTTACTATTCCATAAATTTTAATGGCTGAGAAAAACACCTAAAATATCGCTGGATTGGATTTAACATTCGATATTTAAAAATAAATAGTTACTAAAAAGAAGACTACTATTTTGAACACTTCGAAAAAACACCTTCTACCTATTTGTCTAAGAAGGAAATTTTGCAAAGTTTATGTGCAAAAGGGGTTATAATAATTGAAAATCAGAGTTTTTTTAAGTAGAGTCGATACATCACTAAATTTTTGCTGTAAAATAGCGCCTATTAGAACTCTTTTTTATGATCGCTGATGGTACCGTTGTACCTCCTACCCATTTGGAAATAAAAGTAATTTATTGTTAAAGCCTCACCTAAAAAGTCTAACAAAATAACTGTATCTAGATAGGTCAAAGCTCTCAGTTTTTTGATAGCCTTTTGCATGATTTTTTGTCTTCACTTCTTCACGGTTTAGGAGCTACGATTAGATTTGCTGCTTTGATGTTACGGAAAGATTTTATATTGATATAGTTTAGAGTAAGTTAAAGTTAGTTCCGATTGCACAAAAAGGCAAATTATTGGGAGGGTCCGAGCATATGCTGACAGCTGAGTCAAGGAATAAAACAATAGTCAAGTTTTAGAGTAGCTAGTAACAGACTAAACTCTTATACACCGGAAAAGCACTTTGCTACCGCGGGCTAAATGAGGACAGCGCCATCTAGTTTTCAAAAAAGATATATATTTTATTACTAAGAACGTCAAAGACGCGTCAACCCCTCTCGAACGTTCAGCAGTGGGCGTTTTGTAGCTCCAATGATGATGTGATCATCATTGGAGCTACAAAACGCCGCAGAACGCAGAATTAAAACTGTTTTTGTAATGATTACAAAAACAGGTTTAATTCTAATAGCATAGGCTCAAGGGGCCTTTAAAGTCCGTATTCACAAACGATGCTTGCTTAAGTGAAGCAGCAAATCGAACGCACAGCGTTGAATAGAGCTCTGTGATTGGTTCGTGTGTCAGCCTGTGCGTCCGCGCGCACTGTGAGACCTCATAGTAATGTTTGTGAATACGGGCGTAAGTATACATCAACCTCATGTCTCTTCTTCTTGCTTGCTTAAGTGAAGCAGCAAATCGAACGCACAGCGTTGAATAGAGCTCTGTGATTGGTTCGTGTGTCACCCTGTGCGTCCACGCGCACTGTGAGACCTCATAGTAATGTTTGTGAATACGGGCGTAAGTATACGTCAACCTCATGTCTCTTCTTAATATTCTTCTACAGAAATGACGAAGCTCCTCATCATATTCGGGCCATTGCAGCGCCTTTTCAAGCCTCTAATTTGAAAGAGCCCTCAATTCCAATAACCATAGGTTCAGGTGCCTTTACATAGGTACCCTACATCTACCACGTCATTCAAACGTTCTTCTTCTTCTACAGAAATGACGAAGCTCCTCATCATATTCGCTCTACTTGGACTAGGAGCTGCAGTGTACTACGTCCTCAACTGCAATGAGGGTCGCCAGCCTCCTCAGATGGACCCGGAGGAGTGGTGGGGCCCGAAGGACACGAAGGGACGAGTGGATAAGACCATCAAACCCTTTAAAGTCAAGTTTGAGGAACCGGTGAGTATCCTTCTTTCTTCTTATATTATAAATGCGAAAGTTCGTATGGATGTTTAGATATCTGGACGTTAACATCTTTGTTACTCTTTCACGCAAATACTACTGAACGGATTTTGATGAAACTACAGTGCAAGGCTGAGTTGCACCACCTAACTTTGACCGTAACTTAGACGAGAACCGGTGTTTTTTGTATGGAGTTTGACAGATTTTTGACGTTCGTCAAAGTTAAAGTAAGATGGTGCAACCCAGCCTTATTGTTTACTAGCGGCCGCCCGCGACTTCGTACGCGTGAACCCCGTTTTTCCCGCTAATTCCCGTTCCCGTGGGAATTTCGGGAATTCCTTTCTTAGTGCACCTCTACGGTACCTAAGCTACGTCTCTTCCAAATTTCAAGTGCCTACGTTTAGCCGTTTAGGCTGTGCGTTGATCTGTCAGTCAGTCAGTCAGTTTCTCCTTTTATATATTTAGATAACCCAGAATAACATAATTATAGGCTATATAAATTTATGACGATCTGTGACAAACTAAATTTACCGCGGGTGAAGCCGTGGGCAAAAAAAAGCTGGTATTGTTATAAATAGTAAAATGAATTACAACAGCGAACAGCAAAAGCAGATTCTAAACGAAATGATAATTTTCTTCATAGTTTTTAAACTTATGAATAAAGAAAAAATACTACATAACCCCTTTACTAAAAAAAAGGGAATAGAGTTACAGGCATATTGAACAGTAGCTTAAAATGACATTAGTAAATTTTAAACTAGGTTTAATTTTCATCATGTGTGTAACTTTTATTACTATAGTAAGGGGGTAGTTAAAAGTATAAACGATAGTAATGTCCTGTCGACTATTTTCGTTTGCATTTGATATGTTTTGCTTGTGCAAGATAATTAAATAATGTTTTAATTATTCCATTCTCAGATGATCCAAGACCTCCGCCAACGTCTGAAGAGCCACCGACCATTCACACCCCCTCTTGAAGGAGTCGGTTTTGAGTACGGTTAGTTAGACTTTTTTGTTAGATCTACAACATAAAGTCATAAGGGTTGTTGTTCCCTAAGATACCCTTTTGGAAATTATAGCATTTGTTTAGTGCCAAAGTAGCTGCTTTTAGATAGAATATAATTACACATGAAACCCCCAGAACGCATGCTTCAGGGATCATATTCCCTTTTTATTCGTAAATGTATACCTGAAGATTGTCTGTAACCTATAAAATGTTCCCTCTATGCTCGATATTTAAAGGCTCAATGACTTTAATTTCTTTCTTGCACTGCAAACCCGAAAACGAAGCGAAGGACGTCCTCCAAAATGTGGATCGACGACCTCATAAAGGCAGCAGGAAGGCGCTGAATGCAGGCCGCTACCAACCGGCCATTATGGAAATCATTGGGGGAGGCCTATGTTCAGCAGTGGACATCCTACGACTGAAATGATGATGATGATGATAATGATTGTAAACAATGTTTCTAGGTTTCAACACTGACCAGCTGAACAGTTGGCTGACCTACTGGGCTGACAAGTACAACTTCGCCGAAAGGGAGAAGTTCCTCAACCAATTCCCTCAGTTCACGACCAACATCCAGGGTCTGGACATCCACTTCATCAGAGTTAAACCTCAGGTATGTCTATTACAGTGTTAACCCCACTTCTAATTCCCACAGCTGAGACTTCTTTGTAGCTGCACCGTGGCTGCCAATTAACTCAATCAACGAAATAGTTAGGTATTATTGACGGGATTGCTACCATGTACCTTATATAATAATTTCGAGTTTCCGATATTTCGGCGCTGTTGCAAGCGCCATGATCACGTCACTAATAATAATTATTTTGACCATGAAATTTTAAAATCAACCAACGTCATATTATGTACATTCATACTCGTTACTTCCCTTTGTTTTGCGATCAGATTCACTGTTCTTATCTTTTTATTTATTTAATTGCGATCATGATGACAACTCATTTTTCCCGTAGGTAAACCTTGTTCAAACAGAACATTTTAAGCGGTTTTATCTGTCCTTTTTCCGCCAAAGCCGATCGGTGCGAAACAAAGTGTAAACTTTTTAAGAGGTCTTCTCTTCAGAGCGATTTATTTTGCATGGAAACATCACTTCTCTGCTCTGTTTGTTTCCCATGAAGCTGTTTTAGAACTAAACTAGCGGCCACCCGCGACTCCGTACGCGTGGATCCCGTTTCACCTCCTCAGGGATTGAATTTTGCAAAATCCCGCCTTAATGAACACCTACGTTCTAAAAGGAACCCCCATGCAAAATTTGAGACTCCTAGCATTTGTAGTTTCTGAGATTTCGTGACGAGTGAGTGAGTGAGTCAGTGACCTTGTGCTTTTTAAAAGTAGGGATAAACATTTTTATTCCAGTGGATTTGTCGATAAAAATCATATTATTGCACCCTAACGGGTCGGATACCGGTGACCAGACTGACGCTGTAGATTACCGATTTCTTTGATGGCTGTATTATTTTCATTATTTCTTTGTTCATATCAATACACAATAATTCGGGATGAGGCCATGTGAGGCACATGATAGGGCAGCCCAGCGTAGCCCTCTTATTGCGGACTAAAGGAATTTTGTCGTAGTTACCGTAGCCGAAATCGGCTTGGGAGTAGGTAATACCTACTAGGTATACACCACTAAATTTTTATCACCGAAAAAATTTTAACATGTTATGTAAAAACGTGTGGAATATTGAAAGCAAAAGAAAAAGAAATGGTTTTCATGAAGTTAATTTTTTTATTAAATTTTCGTTACTCCGTATTTTACGCGTCACAGCTGGGTCACTCCGCTGCTCGCTAGAGTAGTAGTACACGCTCGCACGTTGCATCTATCTGTCTGTCTCGCTCACGCCTCGACCACGCTTTCAGTGTTATTATTACATACTTAGCTAACTTAGACCATTTTTAGTTTTAATAAGTGTTACATTATCGTACTTAAATAGTGCTAGCGACGCGTGTGTCAATAAATTACCAATTTTAGGAGGATATTTTGAGTCACTTTATTTTACTCTTTTTTTTGCACAAATGGGATCAGTATCAATAACTCATTACCCAGAACTTTTTTTTTCGGTGATTAAAATTTAGTGGTGTATATTATATTTAAAATATACCCAATAATTGCAGGTGCCAGCAGGAGTGAAGGTGCTTCCGTTACTGCTGGTGCACGGCTGGCCGGGCTCCGTCCGGGAGTTTTACGAGGCCATCCCAATGCTGACGAAGCAAAGGCCAGGATATGACTTCGTGTTCGAAGTCATTGTCCCCAGCTTGCCTGGGTACGGGTTCTCGGATGTAAGTATCAAGAAAGAACGGTAGAAAGAAAGAAAAATCGTTCACTTTAGGCATAGGCACACAGTAGAACATTCCAATACAGGGCCAGGACCCATCAATACGGCACGGCGCCACCTGTGATACGACTCGGCGCTGCCACCGTAACACGTTCAGACGTCGTCTTGGTTCATTGTTAAAAGAAATGGATTCACCCAATGATCTAAATGATCCCGTTTCTACAGTAAAAAGTTAATTATTGTTTGATTTTACTTTGAAATTGATTATTATTCGATTATCCAGAATACCCTTGGTTTTAAATGATCCGGATAATCGGGATTCTACTGTATCAAGATCTATTAGTTATTGAACTGTCACAAAAGGATAGGATTAAATTAACTAAAAATGCAATGAATTTTGCATTGCAATGAAAACAAGAAAGGCCTGAAGTTGGGAATATGAAGTCTATCCTAATTTCCAGACTTATAATAATGAGTCATATTACTTACAGCCTGCAGTCCGCCCAGGCCTTGGTCTTCCGCAAACAGCAGTGATCTTCAAGAACCTGATGAACCGCCTCGGACACAAGAAGTTCTATGTTCAGGGTGGCGATTGGGGCGCAGGAGTGGCCTCCAGTATGGCTACACTCTTCCCCGAGGATATTCTGGGACACCACTCTAATATGTTGATCGTTCAGGTAAGTTCTTGAAATTTGAAGGTGTTGTTTTAACTAATTCCTTAACAAAATGGCGTTCCCAAAAGCTTCAACCACACCAACGCGTGCAGATCGCCATGACAGGTCGCGTGGACTGTCATGGATAGACCTGTCATTGGCCTATGATCGCGCCGTGGTAGAGTTGTTAATAAATATGAACAGGTATCAAAGTGTGCTACACCGATTTGTTATCAGCCGATTCCTCATACAATCTAGAAAGTACAAAACTGTCGGCCGATTTTCTGCAAAGGCTCGTTATGAAGACACGGACGAAAAAATGTCTACCACACAAACGTAGATACATTTTTACATAACCCTGAATACAAACCTTTTTTACCTTACAGAACTCGTGCTCCCAACTGATGTACTTCTTCGGATCGATCTTCCCCTCGTTTGTGGTGGAATCTCGCCTGGCTGACCGAATGTACCCCATCACTGAATGGTTCGCGTACGCCTTGGAGGAGTTCGGATACTTCCACCTTCAGGCTACCAAGCCTGACACCATTGGTAAGTAACGAAACCGTTTTTTGTAGTAGTTTAATCACTCATCGTTAGATTCTTATAAGGATACTGTTGACACTGACTTTGCAAGCGTAGTGTGTAGGGTGGAGTAACAAAACAGAGCGAGTCATAGCCCGAGACGGAGCCGAGGCAAATGTCCAAATTAGGACAAGAAACCGCGGCCCCGTTTCATTAATTTCTTTTATGCAGATAACGCCGTTAGATTTTAGTTGGTAGGCTCCGTCCTTTTGGTGGGGATCCCACATAGACAGTTTAATGGTCATCCGCAGTAGGTATGCACAAAGCATTAATTTCAGCATTACTCATTGGCAAAATAAAATAGCCCATATTCCTACACCCGTGGTGACTGAGTTTATTCCGACGCTTCTTATCAGCACTTGCCATGTTTGTCTCGAAGCGCTCGTAGGGTCCAACAGATCAGGAGACATGTAAAGTGGCCTTATCCTCATTTTTGACGGTCATAAGTGCAAAAATAGTGGTTTAAATTGAATAAAATATTTTTGATTTCGTCTTTTATTTCCAGGTGTGGCCCTTACCGATTCCCCAGCTGGTCTTCTGGCCTACATCCTGGAGAAGTTCTCCACCTGGACCAATAGAGATTTCAAGACGACCAAAGACGGCAACCTTGGCTTCAGGTTCACGAAGGACCAGCTCATTGACAACCTCATGCTATACTGGTCCCCGAATAAGATCACGACGTCCATGAGGTACTACGCTGAGAACATGAGCAAGAAGATCAGAGATATGGACCTTGACTCGTAAGTATTATGTTTTAATTTAGATTGTAGAGATTGTAATGTTACGGTGGTTAGGGCGTGTTCCCACGCAAACACCCCGCTTTTTACAGGAACAGTTTTTGTGGGATCCTGCATTACTGGGATCCAGCAAAACTGGATTTTCGTGAGAACAAGCCCTTAGACAACAACAACGGATGAACCCTTACTACGTGTAAGGGTTCATCCGTTGTCATTTCGTGATTGCTTCGCTACGTCATCAAATTATGTATAACAGTAAAAGTGTGCGATTTTAATGTAGCGAAATATAATATGACGAATCTTACATTTGACGTAGAAGAAATTAATGTAGACTAGATTAGATTGATTGATCCCTCCTCCCAGATATGGGAACTAGGGACTTGAAGAACCCAAAGGTTTTTTAGATTTTGTACTTTCATTCATTTCAGTTTTGTTAACTTTATACATTTTTGGCCCTGGTCCCTGTTTTCTCCTTGGTTAAAGTAGCCCTAAAAGCGAAAGCCCATGTCTTCGAGTCCCAATTGAAGCAGCTATTTCTCCAAAAATGTATTTGTAATAACGTTTTATTTCCTTACAGAATCAAAACTCCCGTACCCACTTGGGGATACCAAGCCAAGTACGAACTGTTTTACCGTTCCCCAAGAATGCTGCGGACCAAATACACGAACCTTCTAAACGTCACCGTGACAGAAGATGGCGGTCATTTCTTGGCCCTGGAACTGCCTAAAGAACTGACAGATGACATATTCAAAGCTGTCAAAGCATTCATGGAATTCCACAGTAAGAAAGTCAAGACTGAGTTGTAAGTTTTATTTAAAGGCCTTTTCACAATAGTTTATTACCAGGCCTTTTCAATGCTGTGAATAAGACAATTTGTATAAATTGAAATTAATTTTGATGATGCATTTAGTTAAGATTGAAATAGATTTTTAAGATTGTTGATTGTTAATAAAGTTTTGTACGATTTTCTAAAGTGTTTCTTTTTAACAATGGCTTCTTATTGAAACCAATTTACTGCAACAAAAATCTCCTATATTCTTCTAGTTAATTTTGTTGCGGGTCCAATGACAGTTTAACTTTCCCCCGGGACAAACTTGATCTTCATTAGTTGGGTTTTTGTGGCGGTCAAGCTGTAGATCCTGGCTACACAGGAGTTACAGCAAAGGGAACGAGAGGTGGAAATAGTCCCGTAACTGTCATTCTGATGACAGACCATAAGAGGTGTCAAATTTATGGTCCGATTGTTAAAGCCATTTTAAGTAGTGATTTATGAAGCACGGAATCACCTCTTCGAAAAGCATGGTGATCCAAATGCGCAAGGTCCTAACCAAACTGAGCAACATTAATAAAAGCCTCTGTGGGTCGTGAGAGTCATATTTATTTTTTCTAGACGTTAAGAAAACGTCTAAAAGTCGAGACAAGAACTAATTATTATATTGATACAGTGAGTATCAATTTAACTGCTTCTCTTTTAGTTAGGTACATCTCGCGTGCCTTTTTTTTTTAAAGATTATTAGCAATTTGTATTGCACAAATTACTAATAGTCCCGTTAGCCCCTCGTGGTAAGCTAAATAAGCTTGTGTTACGAGTGGGCTCATCACAATTTAGTCGAGCGGCGCGCGGCGTTGGGATTCGAACCCGCCTTCATCGGATCTCGAGTCGGCTAGTCCGACCTCTTCACCGTTCGGCTATCGTGGCTTAGTGCCTTACCTACTTCTCTCTGTTCATTTTCTTTAACATCTTTTAAAATAAAAAAAACTACGCTAAAATAACATTAGCTGCTTCTCCCCTATTTTATTGCCCTTTCATCACCAAACCAATAAAAGATAACGTGCAATCTGCCACATTATGCACCCTGGCTGGCGCGTGTTGAATCAATTGCTCCAAGATAAGTATTGGGGACCGGATTAGAGAACTTATGGAGCATTAAGTCAATATAAGGATTATTTTATTAGTTGACTTTCTTTAGAGGGTTATTATTAATACAGGGTGAAATTTATACAGTGACTGAGTTTCTTGTGCTGCTTCTTCTCAGCACTGGCCCATTTATTGTCCCGAAGCAGTGGTAGAGTTAATATTGGGATGTGTAAAAGTGCTTTTTAAAAGCCTATTTGCAAAAATAAATGAGTTTTATGAGCTTTTATAAGTTTTTAAATCATTGGCATCCTTTAAAGAATATAAGACTCTACTCATGGTAGGTACAGTGCATTCCCCAAATATGCGACAATACCAATGAGTTAAAATGCCAAATTAAAACCTTTTACAGACGATAGCACATTAAACTAATTTAGCTAGTTTTTATTTTAAAAGGATGCCAACGATTTTAATTTCACCCTGTAGGAATTAGGTAAAACAATTGGTAAACATTGCTAACATTTTTTCGGAGGCCAATATCGCATAATAAGTATACTCGTAGTTCCAAAATACTGAACTGTCCTATGCATGACATTGACAGTGGGGCGCCACCGTCAATACCGGATCGCTGGTTCCGATTTTTGCCATGTTGGAAACCATATAGTTGAACGATGGTAGCGCCCCCCTGTCATTGAGTTTGGTGGGACAGTTCAGCGTGGGTCATCTATAATTCGATTGATGTCGTCGTAAGTTGTATATGAAACTAACAGTGATGTAATAGACTCCGCAGTTTATACAATTTCCTATACTCGCTGTTGTTCGTCAGTAGGCGTAGTCGAGACACGCCCCTTTTGCATGAGCAGGATAGCGAATAGTATTGATTCGACTAGGGAAAGGTCCTTATGTATGAGGGATGATCAAACTCTATTGTCTTTCACACACCCTGATGGGAAGTTGTCTCTCGTTACATAAAAGTTTTTTTTCTGATTTCATTCAAATTGGATGAAAGCTTTCTTGGCCATATTCAAATAGCTTTTGTTAAGATACTAAACATAACTTTTTATGACATTAAGGCTGGATTGCACCATCTTACTTTAACTTTAAAAAACGTCATAAATCTATCAAACTCCATACAAAAACACCGGTTATCGTTATAGTTACGGTCAAAGTTAGGTGTTGCAGCTCAGCCTAAAACTTACATTACATATCTAAACTTAATTATGTAGCTTTTAAATAAAAGATATCGTTATTAATATTTTGTTATTTAATATTTTAATTGAGAATAAGATATTTTAAATTCCATTATTATAAATGAAATTGTTATCTAAATACATCCTTTCAAACTCACTTATTTTATCATACAAGATAATACAACAATAAAAAATATTTACAATGATACAACAAAAAATATCTAACATACGAAAAACACAATATTTTAAAAGTTTTCAATTATACACTTACTTGCTTCCATCTTTGGCCTCTTTATCTTTACCATTCATCCCATTCTGAGTCTTCCCATCTTCTTTCCCGTTCTGTGCTGGAGCTATCATCAGCAGGTTATTCCCATTCCTGTCTGCTATATTCCTGAACGGAATGTTCTGCCGCCATCTTGGGGAAAAGTAGTACTGATTCCTCAAAACCCTTAGATGGTCTTTCCCGAAGTAAACGTCTGGTCTACTCGGTCTTTGGCAGTTCCTTCTCATCAGATCCTCGTTCTCCTCATTCCCGTACTTGGGGTAGTCCATATCGTTACAGATCTTAGGTTTGGGGCAGTCTTCTTCGTTGTAATACGGTCTTTTGAGGCGCAGTCTCCTGGATTGAGGACTGTGGGGAGACTCGCACTTGATCGCAAGGTTGGCGGTGTTTTCCTTGTTCATTGAAAGACCGTGGTTCTTCTGCCATTCCAGAACTTCGCAGAGGAGGCCGATGTATCTGAAACAAATATTTTGAATAAGTATAACCGATAGGCGCTGCAAAATCCACAAAAAAAGACTATGAGGTTTTAATTTTTTAACCGCGCTCCACTTCATATCTAAACAGCCTGTAGCATGGAGCAAATAGCGTTAAACTGTCAAGATAACTACAAATAACTGGTGTTTTTTGGAGTTTGACAGACTTTTGACGTTTGTTAAAGTTAGATGGTCCAACCCATCCTTGTGTTTTACCTTAAAAATTACCTACCTACCCGTGTAGTTTTGCCGGGGTTTCACGGGGCTACCTACTTCGAACATGCTCGAGTGTAGTTCGTCATACAAACAAAGACCATAAACTTGGGTGTTAGGGAGTAGCCCTGTTTAAACTGTTATTAATCCTGGATGGTAATTAATGGATAGGGTCAATCTCAAATAAAATGGTAAAGACATACAAAAACAAGAAGAGAAGATCTTAAAAGTTCCAACCTGATAGCCATCCTCAAGATCTCGTTCTTCGACAGCTTCTTATCTGGTGGATGGGTCGGCACCAATCTTCTCAGCTCAGCAAAGGCACCGCTGACGTTCTGCTGTCGCCATCGCTCGCGGCAGTTGGTGAAGAGTTTCCGAGGAGGCCGTAGGAGGCAGGAGTTGAGTGCTGGGATATCGTCGGAGATGTTCTGCGAGAAGGGAACTGGATGAGTTCCTTTAGGATTGGTAATACCACCAGGATAACAAGAGATTGTGTTTTAGATAGTGACACTGATTGATATAAACTTGAAGCTATAACTAAAATTTCTGTATCCTTAAGGCTCGGTTTTGATTTATCTACGCGAAATGTTTTCTTCAACCATAAGATGTTCACTGTAAGGATTTTGAAGACTTTTAATTTGACTAGTCCTGCACTACCTGTATCTATGTTCGAATCCGCGGATGAAAAGTGGTAAAATAGACGTTTNGTCAATACCTAAATAACCGTTTGAGGTATATTTATGAAATTTGAAGCTGATGTATATCTTGCAAGTCTCAATACATGAGCCAAATTTGAAGTGTTAATGCACAGTAGTTTTTGAATGATGAGGAGTCAAAAGTGACACTAATTGGTTCGTCTAAATATACGCACGGTGCAGTCCCCTCCATGGAACTAGGCTTAACATGCTCCCACATGTCTATAGTGTTTGCTCAATGTTGATTTAGTCGATTTTATCCTGAAAGGAACATGTAAGACAACAATAAAATTTCCAATTTTACAGACCTTCTAGAGCAGATGCCGCAAAAACTATTCAAGATATAGAAAAACTTGACGGTCTCACCTATAGCAAATTGAATAAGCTTTTTTTGGTTCATAGTAGTCATGTCACTAGGACGCATAGTTTCCGAGGATTAAGCGAAAAACCGAAAAGTGGTACCTTTAAACCCCCCTCTCCCCGCCGGCTCAAGGGCTAAGGGCGGGGACTTCTGCTATGTTCACCACCTAACTAGGCTAAATAAAGTCCCGAGGTCAGAAATTGTGTTCCACGGATTTCTCTCTACACCGTCGTTAAGGCATTCATTGACTGGACTAANTCTCCTATATTCTTCTAGTTAATTTTGTTGCGGGTCCAATGACAGTTTAACTTTCCCCCGGGACAAACTTGAACTTCATTAGTTGGGTTTTTGTGGCGGTCAAGCTGTAGATCCTGGCTACACAGGAGTTACAGCAAAGGGAACGAGAGGTGGAAATAGTCCCGTAACCGTCATTCTGATGACAGACCATAAGAGGTGTCAAATTTATGGTCCGATTGTTAAAGCCATTTTAAGTAGTGATTTATGAAGCACGGAATCACCTCTTCGAAAAGCATGGTGATCCAAATGCGCAAGGTCCTAAACAAACTGAGCAACATTAATAAAAGCCTCTGTGGGTCGTGAGAGTCATATTTAATTTTTCTAGACCTTAAGAAAACGTCTAAAAGTCGAGACAAGAACTAATTATATATTGATACAGTGAGTATCAATTTAACTGCTTCTCTTTTAGTTACATCTCGCGTGCCTTTTTTTTTAAAGATTATTATAGCAATGTGTATTGCAAAAATTACTAATAGTCCCGTTAGACCCTCGTGGTAAGCTAAATAAGCTTGTGTTACGAGTGGGCTTATCACAATAGTCAAGCGGCGTTGGGATTCGAACCCGCCTTCCTCGGATCTCGAGTCGGCTAGTCCGACCCCTTCACCGTTTGGCTATCGTGACTAAGTGCCTTACCTACATCTGTCTGTTCAGTTTCTTTAACATCTTTTAAAATAAAAAAATACTACGCTAAAATCACATTAGCTGCTTCTCCCCTATTTTATTGCCCTTTCATCACCAAACCAATAAAAGATAACGTGCAATCTGCCACATTAAGCACCCTGGCGCGTGTTGAATCAATTGCTCCAAGATAAGTATTGGGGACCGGATTATAGAACTTATGGAGCATTAAGTCAATATAAGGCTTATTAGTTGACTTTCTCTAGAGGGGATTATACAGGGTGAAAATATAACAGTGACTGAGTTTCTTGCGCTGCTTCTTCTCAGCACTGCACTGGCCCATTTATTGTCCCGAAGCAGTGGTGGGGTTAATATTGGAATGTGTAAAAGTGCTTTTTAAAAGCCTGTTTGCAAAAATAAATGAGTTTTATGAGCTTTCATAAGTTTTTAAATCATTGGCATCCTTTAAAGAATATAAGACTCTACTCATGGTAGGTACAGTGCATTCCCCAAATATGCGACAATACCAATGAGTTAAAATGCCAAATTAAAACCTTTTACAGACGACAGCACATCAAACTAATTTATCAAGTCTTTATTTTAAAAGGATGCCAACGATTTTAATTTCACCCTGTAGGAATTAGGTAAAACAATTGGTGAACATTGCGAATATTTTTAACGTGTTCTATGTTCCGGAGGCCGATATCGCATAATAATTAATTCGATTGATGTCGTCGTAAGTTGTATATCAAACTGACAGTGATGTAATAGATGCGGAGTTTATACAATTTCCTATACTCGCTGTTGTTCGTCAGTAGGCGTGGTCTAGACACGCCCCTTTTGCATGAGCAGGATAGCGAATAGTATTGATTCGACTAGGGAAAGGTCCTTATGAGGGATGATCAAACTCTATTGTCTTTCACACACCCTGATGGAAAGTTGTCTCCTCGTTACATAAAAGTTTCTTCTGATTTATACGAGCAAAACAAAAAGTGGATGAAAATGACAGCTTTCCTGGCAATTTTAAATTAGATTTTTTTTGTAAATTAGTAATTTGTTATTACACAAATTACTAATAGTCCCGTTAGCCCTTCGTACTAAGCTAAATATGTTTGTGTTGCGAGTGAGCTCTCCACATAGACGAGCGGCGGCGGGGACCGAAGTCCTCGGATCACGACTCACGGGTCAGCCAGTCCGAACCCTTCACCGTTCGGCTATCGTGGCTTCAAGCTTCAGCTTTTGTAAAGAAACTAACTTAGTTATAACTTTTTATGTCAGTTTTAAACTTACATAAAATGATTATCTAGTTTTAAAATAAAAGATATCGTAATTAATATTTTGTTCTTTTATATTTTAATTGAGAATAAGATATTTTAAATTCCATTATTATAAATGAAATTGTTATCTATACATCCTCTCAAACTCACTCCTTTTATCATACAACAATAAAGATATTTACATTGATACAACAAAAAATTATCCAACATACAAAAACACAATATTTTAAAAGTTTACAATAATACACTTACTTGCTTCCATCTTTGGCCTCTTTATCTTTCCCATTCATCCCATTCTGAGTCTTCCCATCATCTTTCCCGTTCTGTGCTGGAGCTATCATCAGCAGGTTATTCCCATTCCTGTCTGCTATATTCCTGAACGGAATGTTCTGCCGCCATCTTGGGGAAAAGTAGTACTGATTCCTCAACACTCTCAGATGGTCTTTCCCAAAGTAAACGTCTGGTCTACTCGGTCTTTGGCAGTTCCTTCTCATCAGATCCTCGTTCTCCTCATTCCCGTACTTTGGGTAGTCCATGTCGTTACAGATCTTAGGTTTGGGGCAGTCTTCTTCGTTGTAATACGGTCTTTTGAGGCGCAGTCTCCTGGATTGAGGACTGTGGGGAGACTCGCACTTGATCGCAAGGTTGGCGGTGTTTTCCTTGTTCATTGAAAGACCGTGGTTCTTCTGCCATTCCAGAACTTCGCAGAGGAGGCCGATGTATCTGAAACAAATATTTTCAATGAGTCTAACCGATCTGCTGCAAAAAAATCCACCAAGAAAATAGACTTTATGAGGTTTTAATTTTTATTCGTGGTCCACTTCATGTCTAAATAGCATGGAGCAAATAGCGTTATACTGTCAAGATAACTACAATCATAACTGGTGATGATTTGATTTTAAGATTTTAAGATTTTTAACAGACTCTTGATGTTTGGTAAAGTTAGATGGTCCAAACCAGCCTTGTGTTTTACTTAAATTACCTACTTGTGTAGTTTTGACGGGGTTTTCACGGGGCTACTTCTACCAACTCTCTTCGCTTCCAAAAAGCAAGATACATGCATAAGAGCTGTTGCTCATCATATTGCTCATAAACAAATAAAGACCATAAACTTGGGCGTTAGGGATAGCCCTGTTGATTAAACTTCTGTTCAACTCTTAATGAACTCTGTGGTTATTAATGAATTGGGCTGACCCCAAATAAAATGGTAAAAAACACCCAAGAATAAGAAGATAAGATCTTAAAAGCACGAACCTGATAGCCATCCTCAAGATCTCGTTCTTCGACAGTTTCTTATCCGGCGGATGGGTCGGCACCAATCTTCTTAGCTCAGCAAAGGCACCGCTGACGTTCTGCTGTCGCCATCGTTCCCGGCAGTTGGTGAACAGCTTCCGAGGAGGCCGTAGGAGGCAGGAGTTGAGCGCTGGGATGTCGTCGGAGATGTTCTACAAGAAGGGAACTGGATGAGTTCCTTTAGGATTGGTAATACCACCAGGATAACAAGAGATTGTGTTTTAGATAGTGACACTGATTGATATAAACTTGAAGCTATAACTAAAATTTCTGTATCCTTAAGGCTCGGTTTTGATTTATCGACGCGAAATGTTTTCTTCAACCATAAGATGTTCACTGTTAGGATTTTGAAGACTTTTAAATTGACTAGTCCTGCACTACCTGTATCTATGTTCGAATCCGCGGATGAAAAGTGGTAAAAAAGACGTTTTATGTCCAACAGTAGGTAGTTCAATTGCTGAATTCAGGAGATGCTTTCCCGCAGTGGCCTGCCAATGCAATAGCTGAAATGCTATACAGAATATACATATGGTACATGGTATCGGAAAACGCAACGTAACCCACCCGTTGCTTGAACAGATTTACTCATAAAGGTAGCTTTTTTTTTATGTGATAGGAGGCATACGAGCAGACGGATCACCTGATGGTAAGTGATTACCGTCGCCCATAGACACCCGCAGACCCAGGGGCGTTACAGGTGCGTTGCCGGCCTTTAAGGTAAAGATACGCTCTCCTCTTGAAAGCTTGCAGGTCGTATCCGTCCGGAAACACCGCAGACGACAGTCCATTCCACAGTTTGGTTGTACGGGGTAGGAAGTTTCTAGAGAAACGTACTGTTGTGGACTGCCAAACATCTAAGTGATGGGGGTGGAAGTGCTGTCGGGTAGATCGGTGACGAAAAGTTGAAAAGCTGGATGAAGTTCGCTATGATGAATGCAATATGGAAATCATTGGGGGAGTTTAGCAGTGATGATGAAGATGGTACCTACCTGAACACTCCTGGGGATGTGCCTTTCATCATCACTGTCGGGCAGGCACAGGTCGTCGCTCAGCATCTCGCTGTCAGGCTCTTCGTCGGACGACTCCTGGTCCGAAGCCATCGAGGTTGGGTATACTGGTGGAAGACACATCATTATCATAAAACTTAACTCAATCTGACGACTCTATTTTCTACTTTTAAATGATTTTTAGTTAGAGCTAGGTAGTTACTTTGAGTATTATTTGGGGAACTCACAGTGACATTCCGCTATGATTAATAAACTAATGTTCAACTTTTTATCAGTAAACGGGTAAATGTGTTTTCCCGCAATTAGGCAATTCTTTTCCAAACATTTGTTTCTATACTTTCTATGAAGTTCTAAAGAAACGAAAAGATGAATTCTCTCATTTATTCATGTAGAATTGTAGAGAAGTACCTACCTAGAGAAAGTTTAAAAATCTTTCCGGGAAACCGTAAACACATCTAATTATTTAAGCCATTCTGTCGAAGTTTTTGTCTTTGTTATCTAAGATCATCATGGAACTTGTGTAAATGTTTGGTTTAAAGCCACTTAACTGTTGTCTGACCTCAGAAAGAGATTGACTCCGGTTCTTTGCCCATCGAAAAAATGATCTTCAATGATGGTCCAAGACGATGGTGAAAGAACGCATTTTGACATGATAGAAGAAACGTAGGTAGTAAATAGCTCAACTGCCTTGTGAAAGAACTTAATGATGTTATAATTATTCTTAACCACACACTGATTTGCTATAATTATCTCACTTATTACAACTGAAAACATTATTTTAATGTAATATTCGACTGAAATCAACTGTAGTCGGCGGATGCCTTATCAGCGGAAGTGCTATATTTAACAAAGCACTAATTAGCTTTACTGTTCTTCTAATAATAATATTCTTGTTTAATTATAATGCTTGTTGTTCCTTTAAGATAATACTTGAAGTTGTGTAGCTTTTGAATAGAGCTTTTATTGTTGTTTTTGAATTCTACTGTTGATTGTGTTGTTTGGTTCTTGATCTTTTCTTACATTTTATTTGTTGTGATCGTAGTGCTTGTATTGTTTTGATTTCTATTTGTTTTTGTTTTTAACATATTTTATGTAAATTAATGTCGAATGTGATGAATATTATCGAAGGGTCTCTGAGATGGGCTTACAAGTGGATGAAAAATCACTTTTGTTTGTGTATGCTTTGTAAATGATCTTGTCTTTTACTTCTCAAATGAATATCAGTTGAAATCGCAGCAAGAATGCATTGCAAAGTTGTATAGTATGTAATGTTGACTGAATTTTTATATGAATGATATAGATTTAAAACAAATAACATTGTTATTAGATGTTGGTATTAGATCGGTTAAAATGTGAGGATACTCTTTTATCAGCATAATCGTAACTTAAGTTCTTAGACAAAGATAAATAATTTTCATTTTTTATTTCTCTCGTTTTTCATTCAGGTAGAGTCATCCTATAATGTATGATTTTATTGTTGGTTATTCAGAACTAACTTCTGTAGCTCGAGTTTTAACTGGATGATTGTATTCTTAGTTAGCTGTAATCCTTGCCTTAGCTATATTTTCCAATTTTCTACAAAAGGATTAATTTTATTTATGGTCTTCTTAAAAATAACTTACCGTTAGTCCCCGTAATATCCGTCACGGTGGGCATATAAACAAACACACCACAAACACAATCAACGAAACACCACACTAATTAAACCCCTCCTTTTTATGTCGGTTAAAAATAACGTTGATCCGCCAAAGCTTGAAAGGCGACTGGCATAAAAAGTGATCCAAATTCGAATTTCAAATCGCAAATGCAGCTCTCTGATTGGTGGATGGGCTGAGTGCATCGACCAATGAGGGCACGAGGCGTGGTTGAGGGATTCCCTCTTGCATCCCTCTCCTCACATCCCTTTAGTTTTATTGTTGTGTGGAAAATGGAGGCCTTATCGCGACGCGCAGGCTATAGTAATTGGATTTGGGAGGTGTAAATAGGACTTGATAAAAGGCTGACGTAGAGATGAAAGCTATGTAGTCTTACACCCGTATTCACAAACGATACTTGCTTAAGTGAAGTACTTAGCAAATCGAACGCACAGCGTTGAATAGAGCTCTGTGAATGGTTCATGTGTGACCCTGTGCGTCCACGCGCACTGTGAGACCTCATAGTAATGTTTGTGGATACGGGCGTTATTTATTTCGTTCTGTAATCAAAGATAGATGAAAAAAAAAATGGTGGAAGAGTATTGGCCTTATATTTTTATTCAAAAACTTTTAGTTTTTAAACATGAAATGTTTACATCGTCCAGTGGTAAGATAGCGAGTCTAACGAGGGGTTTTAGATTCGAATCTCGGGTGTATTCCCAATTGGTTATGACATTGCAGTCTTTAATCTTCCTGATTTTCGGAACAAAAAATACGATTTCGGAGTAGAGCCATCCGTCGATTTTTACAATCGTTAATTACGCCCGTATTCACAAAAAATACTATGAAGTCTCACAGTGCGCGTGGACGCATAGGGTGACACACGAACCAATCACGGAGCTCTATTCAACGCTGTGGTTCCAATTTGCTGCTTCACTGAAGCAAGCATCGTTTGTGAATGCGGGCGTTAGTTTCAGTCAAACGGTGAATGCTGAACAAAGGCCTTCCGCAAGAATTTCCATAACGGCCGCTCCGCGCTCCCCGCATTCAGGCGTTTTCGACCTGCACCAGATCGTCGGTCCACCTAGTGGGAGGCCCGCTGACACTACGTCTTCTGACCCGAAAAAAATTAATTGGTGATTTCGTTTCATTGTAGATATATATTGGAAATAAATAAATAAATAAATAAAATAAATAAAATATCTAAACATAATTGGGGCATCAGTTGTTTAAATTTTGTTTGATCGTAGTGACGAGTCTCCCAGTGACTTGGCCCACTTTATGCATTTTTTATGCAGCAGGTATTTGACCACAATCGCACCTGATGTTAAGTGGAAAGGCATCGCGCCTTTAAAAGGCCCGGATTATAGTCTTCGGGAAAGACAGCGGCAGGCAACGAATTCCAGTCCCTAGCTGTTCGCATTATAAAAGAGTCATCGAAACGCTTTGTGCGAGCTGGTGGAATTTAATTGTCAACAATATAGGGATGGATGGTTGGCTTGGCCCTCGGGCTGAGTCGCTGGATTGAATTTTAAATACTTTTTCTTCCAGTACGTAACTTCTTTCTAGACTAGATTATTTCTTAAACACTGGCGACGGATTTAATGAAATGATAGGAAATAATTAGGATTTGGAGGGCAAGTTTTTTAAGCCACGGTCTGTTTGAGGCATTGTAATGTAACAGCCTTGACTTAAAAACTATTTAAGTGCAACTAAGGTGTAACTAAAAACTATATTTTCCTTACTTTGTACCTGCATTTTAACTTGTTTTTTTACCGAAACCGTTTGACTTATCAACCGGCAGACAGTGTGATTGAGTTTGTTGCGGCGCTTCTTCTTAGCACTTGCCAAAAGTTTGTCTCGAAGCGCTGGTAGGGTAAAAAGATTATGAGACATGTAGGTAGAGGCTCCCTAAGAGAAAAATATTTGACGATTTGTAATTACTATTTAAATAGTCTATCTATAGTTCTATACAAATAAAGAAACTTTGACTTTGACTTCCATGTTTAATAATTTTAAAAGATAGGCATTATTTTTTTTCTTTTAATTATTTTCTTCTATCAATAAACCAACTGTCAGTAGTACACAGGTTTGTAACGACAATCTAAATAAGACTCTAACATTCACGTAAAATACATAACAGAGCTGAACAATCTGGTATTTAGTTCATTGTTATCTACTAAACCGTTGTTTGTCACCTGTCATCCGCTTTGCAACGGAGGGAAGTCGAACCTTAACTTCGAAGTCCTATGTTCTTCTGATTAATTTCGTTGCGGGTCCAATGACAGTTTAACTTTCTCCCGGGACAAACTTTACCTTCACTGGTTGGGTTATTAGTAGAGATGAAACGGATAGTTGTTTGGCCGGATACCGGATACCGGATATCCGGCCAGCTGCTAGGCCGGATAGCCGGATATCCGGCGGCCGGATAGTTGGCCCATTGTCTCGTTGCATGTCGTGACGAGTTTAGCGCCGCACAGGTGCTTCGAACGCGATAGTAGACTAGACTAGTCACACTTTTCGAAAATCGAATCCGTCCGAATAGAATGTCAGATTTTGTCACTTTTCTAGGGGGCAGATCAATTCGATTTCGGTTGCTATCGTGAGTGTGTGAATGAATAGCGAAAATTAAATTAGTTTACTCGTTGTGTAATCTGACTGAACTGCATGCATCATGTCATCAGACCATCAGTGAAAAAAAGATCGCCTTTTTTATTTGGCAATATTTCGACATTAACAGATATTTATTATTTATGTATTCGTCATTAGAGTTATTCACTCACGCCCAGAAAGAGAAATTAGTTTTTTGAAAGGCCTTGTAACTTTGTAACTTTTTGGACTTTAAATAAAAGCAGTCATTATTATAAGCCATTTTATTGATATTTACCTCAAAGATTAATGTATTTCATTTTATTAATAGGAAAATGTCGTAGTTTTTTAATATCCGGTATCCGGCCGGATAGTGAGTTACTATCCGGTATCCGGCCGGATAGTAAATTTAGGCCGGATATCCGGCCTACCGGATAGTTACCGGATATCCGTTTCATCTCTAGTTATTAGCGGTCAAGCTGTAGATCCTGGCTACACAGGAGTTGCAGCGGTGGGAAAGAGAGGAGGGAATAGTATAGATATTTAGTTAAGGAACTATCGCAACATAATTGCTACGAACGTCTCATATTTACTACATTTGTCAACTAAAGATAAAATATACAAACGTTTAACAGTATACAAATAAATTGGAGATAATTTAAATACTCCACACGATAGTACTTTAGTATACAGCAATCGATCGGGCGCACCAGACGTGTAGCAAAAGTGAATTACGGAAATTTCGACTCTATGCCCGTGCACTAAGATTTATATTGCAATCAAAGGGACTATTATTATAACCCGGTCATTTAGAGAAGACAGTTGGACTATTGTGGATTGGAGTGTGCAGTGAAGTTTTGATTCGGTAGGATCACACGGTAATAACGTGGTTTTGTTTAAAAATAGTTTTAAAACTGGTTTGTGTTTTGTTTTTTGGTGTTTACGCAGCTGTTTTTAGTAAGTTGTGTCGTGTCTTTGGCATTTTAATCAATTTTATTTTTTAGTTACATGTTCTTTTAATTTAATTTAAACTTTGTAAGAAAAAAGTCACTTGAAATTCATTAACACATCACTATGCCTTATGCCCTTATGACTTACGCCCGTTTCCTATATTCAATCCTTGTCCAAATCCGGATTACAACTGTCACATCGAATTCAGTTTTAGATTATATTTCCAAATTGTTCGATGCATTTACACATTAATATTGTTTAAAATAAATAGTCTTATAAACAATATGTAAAAACATCAAAAACCGCAGATATTTTGGTCAAAAACATATTAAAATAAACTTTGATATACCAACATTGGAGCAATAAAGAATTTGAATTTGAAATTTGACAGTTGACAATCCAAATCCGTCCAATTTGGATTAGGATTGAATATAGAAATCCAGCATTAGTCTCTACCAGCTCTATGGCATTTATCCCATTTTGCCTGTTTATCTGTATGTGAAATAAGTTTTGAAACATACATAAATATTTGAATAAAGTTATGTAAGTTATAAAACCCATGGTTATCATCACACTAACATCTTGGCTTTGGCGAGATTCGAATCTGCTACCTTAGATTCTATTATAGTTGGGTATCGAACCACCAGTCTGACGGTTGTCAAAACTAACGTGTCCCTATGGACTGTTGGTTCAAAAAAACATTTGACCCAGCCGGGAATCGAACCTAGAACGCACCACGCGATTTCGGGTCTAACATTTCGTGTGTTTTCAACAAATACCTGGTGCTATACTAGAACCGACGATCTGGTGAAGGTCGCGGGAGGTGCCTGGATGCGGGCGGCGCAGGACCGGTCTTTGTGGAAATCCTTGAGGGAGGCCTTTGTCCAGCAGTGGGCGTCATTCGGCTGAATCGAACGAACGAACAACGAATACAATGTTTTTATGTTTAAAATACTACGAGCATGCGCACGCTCACCCATATTCTAATCTGCCAAAAGTATTTGTGTTTTAATGGCTCTCATTTGTGGGTTGTTGACCTATCATTGTTATTTTGTATAAGATCTGTATGATAAATTTTATTACGCCTTTTCATTTCCTCAATAGGTAATAAAATAGTCAATAAATAACGTAATAACTATTAACGATATAACGATTACAAAATAAATTTTCTTCTACGTCTTCCGGTCCGTGGTCGCCACTCAAGAACTTTTCAGCTCTACGAGCTATGTGCCCCTCTCACTACCACTTGAGTTTAGCAAAAATGTAGTTTGTATCTGTTAAAACGACGTTCCTCTATTTGGTCTCTTTATTATTACAGAGATAAAGGGTTGCTTATTATTTATTATTGGTTTTGGGCCTTCATTTGCGCCAGCTCGACCAGGTTTGATCTATTGTGGCAGCCCTTGTTTTTAGAGTTCACTGNCGGATCTCCTCATTTCTGATTCGATCACGCAGGGAAACTCCAAGCATGGCCCGCTCCATCGCCCTTTGGGTGACCTTGAGCCTTCTTATGAGGCCCATAGTAAGCGACCACGTTTCAGATCCATAAATCAACCCTGGCAACACACACTGCTCACGGGCGTTAGTTTCACTCAAATAGCGAATACTAAACAAATGCAACCCGCAAGAATTTCCATAACGGCCGCTCCGCGCCGCCCGCATCAAGGCGTTTTCGACCTGTACCAGATCGTCGGTCCACCTAGTGGGAGGCCTGTCTAAACTACGTCTTGTGACCCGAAAAAAAATCATTGATGATTTAGATTTGTTTTGATTATAGATTTATCTATAGCTTAATATAATTGGGGCATTCTAACAGCAATTAGTTGTTTACATTTTGTTTGATCGTAGTAACGAGTCTTCCAGTGACTTGGCCCACTCTAAGTCACTGGATTGAATCTATACTTCTATACTAATATTATAAAATAATGCGAAAGTAACGTCTGTCTTGCTTTCACGCCTAAACTACTGAACTGATCTTGATTAAATTTGGCATAGAGATAGTTTGAGTCCCGGGAAAGGACTTAGGATAGTTTTTATCCCGGTTTTTGAAACAGGGACGCGCGCGATAAAGTTTTTCTGTGACAGACAAAATTCCACGCTGGCGAAGCCGCGGGCGGAAAGCTACTTTTTAAATATTTTTTCTTCCAGTGACTACTATTTCTTTCTAGATTATATTATTTCTTAAACACTGGCGACGGATTTAATTAAATGATAGGAAGTAAGATTTGGAGGGCAAGTTTTTTAAGCCACGGTCTGTTTGAGGCATTGTAATGTAACAGCCTTGACTTAAAAAATATTTAAGTGCAACTAAGGTGTAACTAAAAACTATATTTTCCTTACTTTGTACCTGCATTTTAACTTGCTTTTTTATCGAAACCGTTTGACTTATCAACCGGCAGACAGTGTGACTGAGTTTGTTGCGGCGCTTCTTCTTAGCACTTGCCAAATGTTTGTCTCAAAGCGCTGGTAGGGTAAAAAGATTATGAGACATGTAGAGGCTCCCTAAGAGAAAAATATTTGACGATTTGTAAGTACTATTTAAATAGTCTATCTATAGTTCTATACAAATAAAGAAACTTTGACTTTGACTTCCATGTTTAATAATTTTAAAAGATAGGCATTTTTTTCTTTTAATTATTTTCTTCTATCAATAAACCAACTGTCAGTAGTACACAGGTTTGTAAAGACAATCGAAATAAGACTCTACATTCACGTAAAATACATAACAGAGCTGAACCATCTGGAATTTAGTTCATTGCTATCTACTAAACCTTTGTTTGTCACCTGCCATCCGCTTTGCAACAAGGAGGGGGGAAGTCGAACCTTAACTTCGAAGTCCTATGTTCTTCTGATTAATTTCGTTGCGGGTCCAATGACAGTTTAACTTTCCCCCGGGACAAACTTAGCCTTCACTGGTTGGGTTTTTATTGGCGGTCAAGCTGTAGATCCTGGCTTCACAGGAGTTGCAGCGGTGGGAACGAGAGGAGGGAATAGTATAGATATTTAGTTAAGGAACTATCGCAACATAATTGCTACTAACGTCTCATATTTACTACATTTGTCAACTAAAGATAAAATATACAAACGTTTAACAGTATACAAATAAATTGGAGATAATTTAAATACTCCACACGATAGTACTTTAGTATACAGCAATCGATCGGGCGTACCAGACGTGTAGCAAAAGTGAATTACGGAAATTTCGACTCTATCCCCGTGCACTAAGATTTATATTGCAATCAAAGGGACTATTATTATAACCCGGTCGTTTAGAGAAGACAGTTGAACTATTGTGGATTGGAGTGTGCAGTGAAGTTTTGATTCGGTAGGATCACACGGTAACAAAGTGATTTTGTTTAAAAATAGTTTTAAAACTGGTTTGTGTTTTGTTTTGTAGTGTTTACGCAGCTGTTTTTAGTAAGTTGTGTCGTGTCTTTGGCATTTTAATCGATTTTATTTTTTAGTTACATGTTCTTTTAATTTAATTTGAACTTTGTAGGAAAAATGTCACTTGAAATTCATTGACACATCACTATGCCTTTTGCCCTTATGACTTAGTCTCTACTAGCTCTATGGCATTTATCCCATTTTGCCTGTTTATCTGTATGTGAAATAAGTTTTGAAATATACATAAATATTTGAATAAAGTTATGTAAGTATTATAAAACCCATGGTCATTTAGTCGGCCGTTTGGTGTAGTGGTTCAGAACGGACTACTATGCCGAGAGGTCCCGGGTTCGATTCCCGGCCGGGCAGAAATTGAAATGATGAATTTTAATTTCTATGACGGGTCTGGGTGTAAATATGTATAATAATTATGTATGTATTTAATTAAAAAAAAGTATATAAGTAGTATATCCGTTAAGCTAGCACCCATAACACAAGCATTGAGTTGCTTACTTTGGGGCTAGCTGGCGCTGTGTGAAATTGTCCAAAGATTTATTTATCATCACACTAACATCTTGGCCTTGGCGAGATTCGACTCTGCTACCTTAGCTTCTGTTATAGTTGGGTATCGAACCACCAGTCTGACGGTTGTCAAAACTAACGTGTCCCTATGGACTGTTGGTTCAAAAAATATTTGATCCAGCCGGGAATCGAACCTAGAACGCACCACGCGATTTCGGGTCTAACATTTCGTGTGTTTTCAACGAATACCTGGTGCCATACTAGAACCGACGATCTGGTGAAGGTCGCGGGAGGTGCCTGGATGCGGCCGGCGCAGGACCGGTCTTTGCGGAAACCCTTGGACAAAGGCCACCCTTTGTCCAGCAGTGGACGTCATTCGGCTGAAACGAACGAACGAACAACGAATACAATGTTTTTATGTTTAAAATACTACGAGCATGTGCTCATGCTCACCCATATTCTAATCTGCCAAAAGTATTTGTGTTTTAATGGCTCTCATTTGTGGGTTGTTGACCTATCATTGTTATTTTGTATAAGATCTGTATGATAAATTTTATTACGCCTTTTCATTTCCTCAGTTGGTAATAAAATAGTCAATAAATAACGTAATAACTATTAACGATATAACGATTACAAAATAAATTTTCTTCTACGTCTTCCGGTCCGTGGTCGCCACTCGAGAACTTTTCTGCTCTACGAGCTATGTGCCCCTCTCACTACCACTTGAGTTTAGCAAAAATGTAGTTTGTATCTGTTAAAACGACGTTCCTCTATTTGGTCTCTATATTATTACAGAGATAAAGGGTTGCTTATTATTTATTATTGGTTTTGGGCCTTCATTTGCGCCAGCTCGACTAGGTTTGATCTATTGTGGCAGCCCTTGTTTTTAGAGTTCTCTGCTTAGTCCCGTTGAGTATATAAATTTCCAGATTCTTTGGAGCGTGATATCTGCTATCTCATCCGGGTGCATGATGTTTCGCCCGAGATGGATACTTCTTTTGCTCATAAGCGGGCCGCATGAGCAAAGAACATGCATGGCCGTTTCTTCTTCTGTATGGCAGAATCTGCACAGAGTTTCCTCGGTCATGTTCATGTTCGATTTGTGTTTGTTTAAGGGTTGCTTATTAAAGCTGTAAAAATATAAATCTGTCTTAGACTAGTGAATAGATGTAGCTGTGATGTACTAATCGGCCAATCTGGAAATCATTGGGGGAGGCCTATACTCAGCAGTGGACGTCCTGTGGCTGAAATGATGATGATAAAGCAAGTTTCCCAAGATTTTGAAGAGAAAAATTAGAGTTGACAACACACTATAGTATTGCAAAATCAGACCTAATACTATTAGATAAGATATTATCACATCTATTTCCACTCTATATTTTATAAGCTCAGCGGCTATCCTAGTTTTAATATCACTGCGATCCCTTTCTATTGTGATGGCCGTTTTACAATTCTCCAGTCTTGCATCCATTAGATAGTGCTTTATATTTTGGGGGGCGATATTTCTTACTTCATCTAGACGTGTGTGATTAGCGCCCGTATTCACAAACGATGCTTGCTTATGTGAAGCTGCAAATCGAACGCACAGCGTTGAATATAGCTTTGATTGGTTTGTGTCCACGCGCACTGTGAGACCTCATAGTAATGTTTGTGAATACGGTGTGTGATAAGTTAGCATTAGTTGAATAAGGGAATTAGAAAAAAATCAAAGTACATATTGTACTTACGTGTACACTAATTTAATTTCACGATAGAGGCGAAAAAAGTAGAAAGATTTTATAAAAGCTTAAAACAGTATGAACTTTTTTAACAATTTCAGGCGCTTTTATACCTACTCTATGTATGATTATAATAATTTGTGGGGTATTTTTTACTCTTTTTGTTTTGATTTTTACGGAGCATCCACAGGTAAGACATGAATTAGATAACAAATCGTAACATACGAGTACTTACATCATGCAGAATCTTCCGTTCAAACAAGCAAAGTACAATAAACCCTGTGGGTTAACTAATGACAATAGAGACAAATCAATATTGTCTCTCAGATATAACATGCAAATGTTTGTGTCATAGAGAATTAAAACAAATAAAAACAACAAAACGTGTCTTTCAGTTAAATCTTCGATACTACCGGCAAATAATAGTTAAGTGTCTGAGACAGACCCAGTGGGGGCAGATTTTTCTGTTCGGTTTGGTTGGTGGTAGGGCTTGTTCTAAGTCCGCCTGGCTAGCTACCACCATCTTACCTAAGTCTGTCGCCATAACAACAATGTTAACAGCATTGTTGTGTTCCGGCAGTTAGAGGTAAGATAGCCAGTTCCTCCGTGGTTGAGGATTCCGGGTGAAGCTCGCTTCCACCTTCGGCCTGATCATCACTTACCATCAGGTGAGATACAGGCCAAGAGCTTCCTCGTTGTGGATAAAAAAAGACTACCCATTTATGACTCACAGAAGTAATAAATAACTTAATACATAATGCAAGCTTCATCGACGACAGGTGTGGATAGTCTGAGGTATTATGTAAAACTATCTTCACTTCAGGTAGGGCATATAAAATCAAAAAATCAAAAATCATAATTATCTTTATTTGTTTAGACTAATTAAATTAGTACTTGCAAATCGTCAAATGCTCTTAAGGCGGCGCTTCGAGACAAACATTTGGCAAGTACGCAGAACTGACGGCCGATGAGACGGCAAGATTCTGGAGTGGAGGCCACGTACCGGAAAGCGCTGATTGTGACGTCTACAAGGTAGACCTCATAAAGGTTTCGCGTTCCATTTCAACCAAAATAGTAAGACACGGGTCTTAACGCGACGTTTATTAATGAGTTACATGTTACATTATGTACTCACAGCTTCTCCTTTCGGCTGCTTAAAGTAGACTTCATAAAGGTAGCAGGAAAGCTCTCGATGCAGACCGCTACCAGCGGGCGATGTGGGGAGGCAGTGGACGTCCTATGGCTAAAATGATGACGATCTTCACTTCATGATTCTCGAATGTGTCCACCACGTCTTGGCTCATGCACATCTTACCAATTGATGGACCGATGCTCTCAAAAGATGGCTGGCAGTAGCTAGGTACAAATACAAACAAACTCAGCCACAAGTCACAAATTATGAAGTAAAAGACTCATCTGAGGCGCTCCTTGATAGGCTACATCCAACAATGACGATGATATTTAGGCTCATACGATGAAAAAAAAATGCCCACTCACTAATCTCTATCGAAAGATTATGAAGTGTCCAATATTAGTTCAACACAACCACGAGGGGTCGCCGTGAATGAGTCAACGTTCTCTAATCAATGACGACTTGACAGTACACACTTGTGTATAATGCACTATCGTGTGTACAGTCACGGAATGAAAAGGTTCGTCAGTTTTCAAATTGATTCCTTCAACGAATCGCGAGCACATATTACCTTTTGAAACTATGTTACAGAATAATCTCGAGTTAGAGAAAGTAATCTTTAACTGTTCATCAGTAAAGTTCAAAATTATTCAGATCAGAGTTGTTTGACGATTTATCTTGTCAAGAAGATTAGATTTATAAACTAAAACCTTCTTGTTGGTTCAACCTGCCATTATTATTTCTATTAAATAAAAAAAACTATTGTCAATTGGTCAATGTCATCATTGCATTGTGATTGCACTGATGGGATAGAAAAATAAACAATCAAAACCTTATTCATTAGCAAACGTCATATTTATTTAAATGTTAGCAGCACTGTTTCTTGCACTGTTATGTTGGCAGGTTTGACTCTTTAAGTACCTAGTGCAAGCGAAAACCGACACTAAGGTGACGAACCTTTTCATTCCGCGACTGTACATACACGGAAGCGAACAATATTTACAGACTTATGCAGTAACTAGCGGCCGCCCGCGACTTGGTACGCGTGGATCCCGTTTTACCCCCTTCATCTATCTTACGTGGTTTAATTTTTTTCATACAAATGTTTTTTTCCGCTATCTCCCGTTCCCGTGAGAATTTTGCAATACCCTGTTGTAACTAAGCTTTAAGTTTACTAAGGCACCTGCATGCCAAATTTCAAGCGTCTAACTTAAGCGGTTTAGATTTTTCATACAAAAGGATTTTCCCGCTATTTCCCGTTCCCGTGAGAATTTCGGAAATTCCTTTCTTAGTGCACCTCTACGGTACCTAAGCTACATCCCTTCCAAATTTCAAGTGCCTACGTTTAGCCGTTTAGGCTGTGCGTTGATATGTCACTAAGTCAGTCAGTTTCTCCTTTTATATGTATATGTATTTAGATTGTCCCGTGTCTAGTAATAAGATTAAATTGTACTCGATCCTTCCATAATGTTGAAAGCGCAGCGTAGGACGTCCACCTACAAGGTGGACCGACCAACTCATAAAGGTAGCAGGAAGGCGCTGGATGCAGGCCGCTACCAACCGCTCATTATGGAAATCA